CACTCCATGCATTTTTTCAAATTTATAATAAACTGTACAGTTGCAACAAGAATTTATATGTGAATCCTGTGCCCAGCCCAACCTCAAAATTGAGTACAGAAACACAAATGAAATTGTTCTGCCCTGCTTTAGACTTTTATGGATTTTAGGTGACAAAAAAGGTTAAAAGAATCTAATTTTTGCCACAACACTTTCCAGCAACGAAATTGGCAGAATCACATCACAATGTAACTCTGGCTGTGGCTGTTCAAGACGTTCATATGAACCAATGTGTGGAAAAGATGGCTACACATATTTCTCGCCATGTTTTGCTGGTTGCCAGTCAAAAGTTAAAGGGGTAAGTATCATACAGCGTACGCTACAAGGACAACAGTATTGCAACACGTGGAACGACTTTTACTACTTCGACGATTAAGTTGTTATATAAAATGTAGATAATTAGTTCTAATTAGCTTCCTATCTGCCTCACAGTACTTTAAGCGCTGAGAAAGTTAACGAAATCTCTTACTCTGGGTATATAACTAAAGCATCATCAAGATAGAAAAATAATAAACTACCTACCTCAGACCTCACTTCTCTCCAAGACTTCCTGGCCGTTTCTTTGGAACCTCGTTTTCAAACAACCTCGTTGTATTTAGCAAGCAGAAATTTTATCAGTGGTACTGAAACTAGAATGCCGTGTCTTCTCTAATGAGCGGCGTTAATTTAATTTTCGCCCCCTTAAGGGGGCGCTCATTTAAGAGGGGCGTTCTAATTGCATAAATACTAGTGGCATCTTTAATATCAAAATTCCTTCGAATGGGTTTTTATCTGGTTCTCTCAGTGTTTGAAGGAAACATTCCCCATGAAAACACCAGGTTTAACTGACGACTATTTTTTAGGTTTAACTGAACATTTTTTAATGTAGCCAATCTCGTATATTTTTTGCTTCATAGGGAGCTAGCAACTGCACATGTGTTTCTGAAGGCATGTCGAGCAATCAAACAACTCCAACATTGCGTAACTCAACTTACACAGCAACATCTGGTAGTGATGCATCAGTTACAGCGGGTCGTTGTGATCGAAACTGCAAAAACCTTGTTCTTTTTTTAACTCTCTGCGCTTTAAACCTGATGGTGTCATTTAGTGGCTCAATCCCACAGAAAATGTTGACGCTAAGGTGAATATATTGTTTTATGTCTAGTTTCAGGCCCACTTAAAGATTGCTCTAGGGGGAGATTGCCCTAGGCCCCGAGTTGAGAGGGGTGCAAAAAGTTATAACGTCAACAATTAAAATCACAGATTAAATAACGTCATACCGGGCCTAATCCTTCGTTTGCCCCAGGCATCAGAAGAGGTCTCAGGAGGCCTGTCTTCTTTGCTAAATGAAATTCAGAAATTTTAATTTTCAATCTTATATTGAATATGTATGTCAAGTATCTTAAGACGACAATGGCCAGTAGGTGGGAAAAAGCCTCATCTGCTATTATACACCACATATTTTCTGAGACATCTTTTTCTTGCAGTCCTTGCTTTGAATTATTTACAATCCGTTTATAAAAGGATAAACCATTTTTGCTGGCCAGTGCGTTTCTGCATGCAAGTAGGACGAAATGGATCATTTCATGATGTACCTTTCGCTCCTCGGAAGCAAAAATGCCCGATAGAGAAAAAAATTTAAGGATAGAAGAGTGTCGATATCTTTTCTGGATCGATCCAAGGGCACGAGGGCTCTGGATCTGATAGTTTTGCAACGTTTGTGCCTTTTAATTTGTAAAGAAAACAAGACAAGCATCAATAACGACACAACAAATAGCAAGGAAAATGTGAATACTTTTTGCAGAGGAACATTTGCTCTAGTTGCGCAGTACCAGATACGTTTAGTACCAGGAAAAAACCTACAAGATTTTTTAATTGTTTCGTTTCGGGTTGATGTTTTCCGTCAATGCGGATATAGTGTTTTCCACTGAAAATAGCGTATAATTTCTGAAAAAGTGTAAAGTTGTTAGCACTTAATTGCTGGTCAACTTCCCTATACCAATACTGTAGCAGATCGGGATGTCCATATGTATGTCACTATGTACAGAGCTGGTTCCGGGTTGCCAATGGTACTTGTGTCAGATTGGAAGGTGACACTTAAATGTTAAGCTATCTTATATAAAAGCCATCAGGTACTGTGTAACTTGGACCATTGTCTCAAAATCGCATTTAGCTCTTGTCACATAAATTTTTGTGTTTTTTTGGGGATCATTGAAATGTAGTGATATTGCCCTGAATTGTCCTGACATGTCTGGTACTACTTCTTTGAGGCTATTTGTAAGTTATTCTCAATACTTCAATTCTTTTTAGATGTGTAGCAGATAACCAGCGTGCATTTGGACTTGGAATGCAGATCATGTTTCTGCGTTTGCTCAGCTTTGTGCCTGGTCCTCTTATCCTTGGTTCAATTATTGATTCGAGCTGCCTCCTTTGGGGAAAGGATGACTGCGGAAACCAAGGAAATTGCTTGGAATATGACGTGGACAAGCTTTCTAAACACTTTTTCACGTTTTCTATCATAGCAGCAAGTATGTTTTCGGGGCTACCTTGTGCGACAACATTTCTTTTATTGATCTGACCACAGAATCTGACCGTACGATTTGTATAAACAGTGGCGTAACACACGGTGTGCACTTTTCAGTACAAAGCTAAGAGCCCCAAGCATTTGGAACCCGAAGACGCCCCTAAGAAGTTTCTCGAAAAATGAGTTTTTTTATGATAGCATGCGTTTCTTAATAGCATTCACAGCATCATCGAAATGGGCAAAAGACTGGATATGGTTTGTGAATGTGAGCAACTATTTAATAATGATGCAAGATATAGCATGTCGAAGAAGTTTCACTCTAATGCACATCCATATCGTTATAAATTTTTGCATTTAATTTACGAGAATATAGAAAATTTTGAAAATATGATTGATTTCCTCAAAGAAGCAGTTTGAAAATGTAAATCTTTCTGAATATGTTTTCAAATGCATGTTCAAGCCGCATCTATATACGCTGCATGAAAATCCAGGAAAAGCTTAGATGAAGATCATAGAAAATATCTCAGGCAACAGAATTTCTCTTCATATGTTGTTATGTATTATTTCTTTGGGTTATATAGAATGAGTATTTAGGCTCTAAAACCTGACTCAAATTAAGTTAAGTATTAGGGCCCCAAAACACTACTTTCAATAAGGGTCCACACTGCTCCCTTACGCCACTGTGTAGAAACGCTAGAACATATGTCACACGTTTTTTCAAAGGTTTTATCGGAATATTGGCACGAAGACATACTTTATTTCATATAAAAGCCTGAGACAGCTTACTAACAGTTTGTCGATGTTAACTGGTGACAGAGAAAGCTAACATTTTAACTCAAAAGTGTCACAACCGATATTTCTTTAAACATTTATATTATAAGTATAATTTTGGTTTTAGATTAAGCGAAATGCTATTAGAAACTCTTAAAATGATGCTATGTATACTTTTGTACCATCTTTCAGATCATATAATCAACAATTTATCACCAGGTATATAGATTAGATGTTTATAACATGCACATTCTCATTCCAGTTTCAGCTACCATCATGTATTTCCTGGCTTGGTATTTCTACATCCCCCAGCAAATAGTGCTAGATGAGAGGCAACAGAATAATAACGAAAATGCCGATCTTATTGAAGATACAAAGGAAAAGGCATGAGTTGTCCTGCCAGTCAAACAGGATTTTTACGGAACGCTGAATTTTTTTTGCGCCTTCATTTTTTTAAAAGCTGTAACTAGATAAACATAAGTGTCCATTTTTAACAGTATTATATCTAGGACACAATTACGAATTTTGAACCAACATAAGCAAAAAAATTGAATTAAAATCTAAATTCAAGTTTTTTAATGTAGCATAAAAGAGTTATAAATCAGGTCATCTTTAATTCGGGGGGGTCAAGCGTTTTTAACGAGGTGTGGCATATTAGAATTGATCGCTCAGTACTAGTCATAAACTTAAATTTATCAACTAAAGGTGTATTTTATCAACACCAATGCTATAAATGAATTTTAAGAAGCTATTGCAATTACATAATTTCGCTCAAATCAATCCTGATTACTTCTATTCCGCCTCACGTCAATTTTCACAATCGTTAATAGCACAGCTGTTTGTGTGCAAAGATCATGTGATCAAAGCAACTGGCATCTCAAAAGAAATGGTGTGCAATTTGACTCTCTAAGACGGGTCCCTTTATAAGGCAGGGAGGGTGGTAGGATGGAAAATATATCCTTGCTCTTAACGAAATCTAGTAAAATGCAGGGTCCTTGGCAGGGGTGTAACTACCAGGTTGGGGCAATGATACCCTTGGTACCAGAGCCTCTCATTATTTTTTAATATTATTTTTTAATTTTTGCGGCTCTGGTACCCAGGGTGGGGCAATGAGCGTTTGACGTTCCCCAATTTTTCATGATTAGTTCGGCAAAGCCTCATTTCGTCGGTAACTTTACCAAAGATAGATGAAATAACGTCTAAATCTTGTCTTACCAATATCTTTGTCGGTAAATTACACTATTGCTGACCCGCCATCCCCCTTGTCTGGAGAATGAAGTAATGCCATTGATCCTCGGTGCTCGTGTTTCGTACGTTCCTAGACAGAAATGTTGAAAAAAAGAAATATTGTTCGCCATAAATATGCAATAAAATACTTCCACTGTGTATTTTTAGTTATTCTGATAAGAACTAAATAGGAATGAATCTTCAAAAAGCATTAACGTAGTTGTTAGTGTGTAGTAGTAATTTACATCGTAAGAAAGCTGAAAGTTTCTATCCTAAGTTGCAATGTCTGTTTGAAGAGGACGACTTTAATTTGTAACGGTTGATAAATATTCTTGTTTTGGTAAGACAACATTCAGCTCATATTTCTGTTTATGGTAATACAATTTTAAGCCCATGCTTTCTTGATGGAATTAAGCTTTACAAGAGACATGTGCAAGACCCGAAATAAACCTTGTTTTTTACTTGCTTCAATACTTTTGTATCACTCCTTGCGCTATCTAGGAAATATATGTTGATTTAGTCATAAAGGTAAAATTGAAATAAGCATACAATTGATTATCTAAAAGAGTCTTGAATGTTAGTACTGTAAAGTTGTATTAATGTTAAAACTGATATTTAGGTTCATATATAATGGAAAGTCAAATTGCAAACAGAGAAAAGTCTTCTCTTTGCCTCAATCTGGCCTTCATAAGGAGCAACATTGTAAAAAAGAAGAATCGATGGAGGATATGGTTGATAAAAATCTGTAAAATAGCGCTTACTGCGTGCTTAATAGGGGGGAATGATAGAGTACAGGAAGCGACTGTGTGATTCTTGTTGATGTGATGATTAAGGGTTTAGATACAAAGAGCTTTCGTGAGGAATGTATGATGCTTTACAACAGTGCCAGAGTTTCACAGTAAGCAAAAGTTTTAGAAAAACTCTCTAGCTTTGCCTCGCAGAAGGATAACTGCAAAAGAAAAAACGAATGGTATTTTTTATTTTGGTTTTCTGTATGAAGCATGGAAGTTGATATATCAACATTCTTATCAAGACTGAGCTTAAATATAAATGTGGAGTGTGTTTTGCAAATGAGTTAAAAGCAAAAGCGAAAAATTGTGCAAGCTCATACCTTTAATTTCTTAATGAATTTCGAGAAATGTTGAGTTTTCGAATTCACATCAGCCACGGCCCAGAAACCTTTTTGTTGCAAAATGTAACAAACACACCAGAGAGAGAAACAGGTACATTTCTTCACATCGACTTTTAGTTGTTTTCCTTTTCTTTTTGCTAAGACCTTCCACTGATTCTCTAATCTAAAAAAACATAATCCGTAGGATTTAAACCAAAATATTATCTTATGGATTTATTGTCCCCAAACCAAGACAATCAATAGCCTGTCCGATAGGAACAAGGTTTTTGCTTCAGCTAATCCAATCGATATAATTTTTCTCGCTCACTGTTGCAGTCTCTGCCATCAAAGTATACCTTCCCAAGTTCTTGCAAGTTTATAAAGGTTGGTTTGAAAAAAGTTTCCCAACAAAAATTCTAAAACGTACTAAAGCATTTCGTCTGACACTCTTTAAAAAATAAAACATCAGAATATTGACTGAAAACTGTGAGATAGGAAATGCATAAACCCTGTTTTGGAACGAAACTGTTTGAAAAGGAAAGGATCTTAGATTAGCGTTACTATATCACAGTTTCACATTCGAGTACTCTTCCTTGCTATGAATTTTATGACAGCAACTCTCTCTATCGCTGAAGCTCGTTGTTGTAAAATTCAGAGGAAGGAATATGTCATCTTGTGAATACAGAAAAATTATAAGTCCTGTTTGATTCCCTATCTATTTGAAATTAAAAAACTCTTGATAACTGTCTCTTCAAGTTTTTATTAAGACAAGGCAATGTATTACTTCTAAAATCGAATACTCCTTATCTAAAAAGGCTTAACTCTAGAAAGCTCTTATGATGGACTTTAAGAGCATACTGAGAGTAACTTTTCGTTTTTCGCGTTCTTGTGATGCACCCGTATTTTTGTAGTCAGACATGGCTACATTAAGGGCGATCGTGTCCTGAATGAATTATAGAATTTTCACAGTTTAAGGTCTGTGGGCAAAGTTTGAGATACGCAACCCTCAAGATCTAACGTTTTTGTTCTTCACCATCAACTTCAAGATATAATGAATAAAGTGGAAAAACCATAGAATTTCCAAGATCTATCTGTATAATGGTACCTTATAAATGTGGCTGTTTACAACAAATTATTGTAATGCACCAAATTAAAGTGTAACTGAGCATTATTCAGTTAAACATAGTATTTTGGGACAGGAAGAGACACACGGCAAATCAAGTAGCCTACACACAGTCGCATATAATTTAAAAAATATTTACATGAATCTCGAAAAATTATATACCCTGGAATTACAGAATGTATATGCGGATAAAATTCAGTTGAAAAAGCGCCGGCTACACAATAAAACGACATTATAATGTCCACACCAGAACTTACATAAAATTCACAATACAGAAAGATATTAACTACTCAATCAAGTAGGTTATTATTAAATAGGACTTATAAATCGATATTATTAGGAATTATTTCAAATTGAAGGCTCACTGATTATAAATTATTACCAAGTCAATTATGATACTTAACACGTTGAAACGATATTGCTTATTTTGTTGGAAGCTTTCACATCAAAAAAAAGTACAGTACATTTTCTTGCGAAATGCTTCTCAAATATCTAGAATAAAATGCCGTTAGGCTAGTGAGTAACACAAAATAACAATACAGCCATACTAGAAAAATGAAAGCCTGAAAGAAAAAATCTTATGAGGCAGCCAAACTAAAAATGTTTTTTGCCTGCCTTCTAGTGGCATACCATGACTAGCATATGAACATGATATTCTTACAATTATTAAAGGGCATTTAAGGTCATGCTAAATGATTTATGTAGTTAGAAATTCAATTTTTAGGCAGGTAAATAATTTTCCCAGTTTGTGTAGTAGAAATGTAGGTGCTAGAAAGGGAATAATGTGGGGCCCCCATCACTCCACCTTTTAGCAGTATGCACTATTGAAATATTAATTCCAAAGCCTACAAATTTTCGCGCTTGAAAATTGTAGCAAGCCAAAATATGTAGCCCTTAGAGAACATGTTGTGTCTTTGAAAATTGTTGCTTTGTGTACACTTAACTGCATTGTGATGTTTTAATAAAAATGCTTCCATGTTCATTATGACAGCCTATTCGTCCTCGTCATCAGAGCCATCAACATCGAGCTTCGCAGCAATCCGCTTTAACAAAGCACTCTGATCTTTAACGATGCTTTTCAGCTGCTTTATATGCCTCTTTTGTTTCTGAAGATCTGCTCTGCTTTCTTGGAGTTTATCATTGAGATCGTCCTCCTTACCTTGCTGCTCCGCTTGATCTTCTTTCCAGTAGTCATAGTCGTTATCATAACCAAGGTAACGCCGAATTCTGAGGAAAACAAGGCAAGAAAAATCAGAATATGTAGAAGAGAAAATTTTCACCCTTTTCACATTTCATTCAGTTCATTTCATACTTATCTTTCTTACCCATAGTAGCCCCTCAGTCGAGGACTGATTTACAGGGGACCATGCTAAAATATACAGAAACATATTTAATCAAAATTAACTTTCAAAATCAAACTAATCCATAATGTAATTACAATCGTTAACAAAATTCTTATACATACATTAAAAATAAAGTTCTTCATGAACAGTTTATTAATTTTTTATCGCTTTCATGAAATTCCTTAAAGTTGACGTTTTTTGGACTTTTTAGAAAAACCATTCCAAAGTTTCGCACCCTGGTAAGAGAAGCATCTCTGTCCTGTGGTCGTTCTTTGAAAAGGGACTCTTAGGTCATAATCCGAATTTCCGAGAGACCGTGTTGTAGAGACGTTGACTTTCGTGAAAATGTCACTCATATAGGATGGTGCATCACCATTCAGGGATTTGTAAACAATCCTAGCAGATTCAAGATTAATTATTGTCACAAAGACCAATTTAGCAAATCGTACCTTTCAAAAATGGATTCTCTATTTGGGAAGATTACAAGTTGCTTGGTGTAGGCCCATCTCAACATAAGACGAGGATAATTTCTATGCATGTCATGCAGAATATCCACTTGCTGCTTCAATATGCGAATGTAGGCCGTTTTTCGCACTGCTTCGATGTCACCAACAGCCAAACCGACCTATTCAAAAGAGAATGGGCTATAGACACAATATTAGCCAAAAATTCAAGGCAATACGGTTTATGGAAGCAGCTCCATTGCAAGGAAATACGCCTCTAGCAAAGGGGTTCACGAAGCTAATCAAGTTAATTTTGAACAAATGATTTCCCTCTCTATATCTGTTTTCACTGGAATTATATATGATTATAATAAGGTCTTAATTTCTTCATGGAAAATTAAATCATCAGAGTTCATCGGAAAGTTAAAAAACAATCAATTTGCAAATGAGATGGATTTCTTCAATTCTCTTAAATGTTACTTTTAATTGTTGATCATTAGATTGGTTTTCCGTAGCACGAAGAAGGACAAACAATAATGCACATTAGCAAAGCATGGGCCACTTTTTCGTGCCAAATTAAAAGTATGTTTTAGAAAGTTTTTACATTTCGTTCTATATTTCATTCGACACTTTCGCCTTATTAGGATCGTTAAAGCAATAATTGCTGATTTTTCATAGCTGCCTGTGTAATAGGGTTCACATTCCAGCACTGTATAGCTGTGAGCATAATTCAAATTTGTGTAGACTTACCAGTAAATTCATGAGAATAATTGGCATCAGAAGTAAGAAGATGGCATACAGAGTGTACGTCACGCCCTCCATTGGTATGTTGGGAAGTCCAGATGTTGCATTAGTTTTGACGTTGTCTGTTAGAACAGTGTCATACTCGAGCTCACCTATGGTCATAACTGCAACCTAATAGATAACAGATTTTAAGTAAAAGCTGGGAACAGGAAACAAATGAAAAAGTTGATACATATGGAGTTTGGGAAATCATCGATGGAAGATACAAGAGATAAATGCTGCAATATAGCGATCGGGAAGGGGTGAAGAGGGGGGTGGATACCTGGCAAAATGAAAGAGAGAAAATAGATTGAATGCAAGACGTAAAACGAAAAAAGGCCAAACGAAAGAAGAGATGTGAAATTGACAGTAAATGGTAAATGGGTAATGGAGGTATTATGTAAGGTTAAATAAAGTACAGTTCTTGCACCTATAGAATAAAAGTAGAAATTTAAGTCAAATTGCACCAGGACAAATTAATGAATTTTATTTACGAGGTTTCGCGCATAGCCCGTTATCAAGCTATTACATTGTACAGCACGCAAGCGAGTATATTCATGGAGTTCTTGTAACTACCTGAAAAGCGTTGAAAAGCGTTGAAAAGCGTTGAAAAGCGTTGAAAAGCGTTGAAAAGAAGGAAAAGATAACATCTTAATGTCTTAAAATTAGGCATTTCACTTTTTATGATAAGTTTCTTAATATTTTCCAAAGGAAAGAAAATTGAAATTGTTGTTAATAAATTTCTCTATTAGTTCCTGTAAAGGTATGTAGAAAACTGAAAAAATGCATAGAAGGTTTAATGAAGGAATGAACGAACTCATACTCATGAAAATATGAAAATCAGAATGCAAAAGGGTGGGGTTTTACTCGTTTGTGTTTCTCGAAAATTTCTTTCCTACATTGCTCTTTCCTTCCTTTTTCTTTTAAACATTAAAATCAAACTTAGATCATGGGAACGTTGGCCAAAAAAAGTAGTTGTATCAGATCACCATTTCATTAAAGTTTTTGCACTTTTCTTCTTTTTCGTTTCTTCAAAAAATTGTGAAAGCAAAATAGCCTCTATGTTTAGGTTCAAGTCCCTGCCATTGATGCATCATGATTTTTCAAACTAGATAACAAGATTACCTTCATGAGAGATCGTTCAACAGTACTGAATGTTGGCAGTTCTCTCAGCAACGCATAGAACGAAAGCGAGAAGGCCACAATGAAAATTCCAAAGACCAAGAGGACCCGGATCACAGTAGCGAAGACTTCTACAAACATCTCTACGTAGACACCAAAATACGGAAACCGGGTTAGGAACAGCAACAAATTGATCCAAGTCAGGAACACACTTATCGCGCCAGCATTCCATTTCTGCGTGAACGTTATCGTGTTTTCAGCAATTAGGAAATCCAACATAAACACCAAAGTTGAGATATACAGTGTCCATTCGAGGTAATTATTTAGCAAAGTAAAATATCTCCGCTTTTGAATAATCATTTGAATGATTTCTTTCAATATGTTCACGGAGCATATAGCAACAGTCAATGCGGGTATTGCAGTTGCAAAGACTTTGGAAGATGACGCATGGGTTGTTGTGATATACTTGGCTTGGTTCATTGAAGTCAACTTTTTGTTTCGATCCCTACCAAATAATGTTAAAATGTTTTGTTATTTCAAGTATCATTTCAGTAAGCAACCAGATTATAAGATTTATAAGGTTTCTAAGCAATTCTAACATATTTAATAGTTGATTCAAGCAATATTCTTCTAAGCTGCGGTTAAAAAAAATCTTTCTTAAACCGGGCATAAATGTTCGATTTTTTAAATGTCCGGGTGTTTTTGCATCGAGTATTCTCAATGCTTCTCAACGTGAGGACTAGAAATCAAACTCTTTGCGGTCAACATTAAACCTAGTGGAGGCAGTAGTGTCAAGGAAGGCAGAGGAGTCAGGGGAAGCAGGGGAATCAGGGAAGGCAGGGGAGTCAGCAAATTTGCATTGTGAGTTCAAAACGAGACGAGAAAGTTAAAACAAACTTACTCTTCTCTTTGAACAACGACAACTGATGTAACACATGCTACAAACAGTAGATATAGAGACAATGTTGTGTAATACACTCCTCTGCCAAGATGTGCCCACTTGTAGGCCATCAATTTCTTGGTAAGGGGGTGGGACATCAGCTTTTCTCTGTTGTATTGAGCCATTGTTACTGGCTCAAAAGATTTGTCATCAGTTAAAGGATTATCCGGATCACCATCGATATAACGAAAATCATATGTAATATTGTAATCTTTGTGCCCTCGGGTATGCTTTGATTCGTTAATGCATTTGTCTAGCACAATTTGAGCTACGCTGGGGGCTACAGCAATGAGCTTGCGCATTGGAGTGCTCCCATCTTTATTAATGTTGTCAAGAACTTCCCTCCATCTGTTTAAAAAATTTCAAAGTCATTCACGGCAAAAAAGATGTGCTTCGTAAAAATTAATACTAATGCATGTTCATTTTAAAATTCGTTAGAATTGCAAACGCACAACTAAAAGAGGGATCGGAACAACTACGATAAATGCCCAGTTGGCTAACCAGAAGGGACAATCATGATTCTCTACAATGAATGCAAGCAATAAGGTCGTGGGAAATCTTACGGCGAGAAAACAATATTGAACGGGCAAAGGCTACACTGCAGCAAGACAGTTTGCTGGGAACAATTAAAGAGGACCAGTTAAACCATAGGATTTGTAAGAACGTACCTGGAATGTTTTATTAACCCCATGCAAATCTCTTGCTGAAAATTATCAACAGCTAAATCGAGGCAGTTCTTTCCATCATAATTTTTCAATGACATATCAGCACCATAATCAAGCAACATAACCATACACTCCACGTGACCGTTTGCAGCGGACCAGTGCAGCGGAGTGTTGTTGTTCTTGTCTCTTGCATCTACTGGAGCATCGTTTTCCAAAAGAATCTTCATTGACTTCCAGAATCCATTTTTCGCAGCATAGTCCAAAGGAGTCCAGGCGGTGTCATCTCTGGCATCAATCTCGGCTCCCTTATCAACGAGTATTCTGACAGCACGACTGTAGATGAAATAAACACTCAATATGATTCTTGTTCGTCACTAAAAGGCATAAATGGAATACAGTCCCTTCTCGAGATTTGTGTACTTGGTAGTGTTGATTTTGTTTAGTTGGCAATGTTCAACTATTCAGTGAATGTACCACACATGTCAGTTAGTTAGCGTACATCCAGTTAACATTTGCATGGAAGCAAAACGATAAACTATAGGCAAGTTCTCGTTAACTCACACCGAAAAGATCGCCGGTGTTTTCCCGTATGTTGAGCATATCTAGCTCGACAAACATCAATCTTCAAGCCCTGACGAAAAGTGCACATCCAACTCTCATTTCTCTAAGCGAAAAGAAATTGATGCCACATTCAGTGGCATGTTATGGAGGAACTACAGGTGTGCGGTTGACTATGATACTTAACTTTGCAAAATTGCATTTTTATGTCAGAAAAATCATTGTCTTTAATAGGGTGTCGGACCATTACAAAGGATAAAAAAGAATCTGAAAGATTTAACTACTAATGGGTGAATCACTGTTGAGTCTAGATTAATGCTTGAACCACCCACTACAACATCAAACTAACTACTCCAGCCCCTTCTACACCAGTTAGATAATAAGGTACCATATTCTCCTTAAACTAGTTTCTGCCTCTCAGTCTCAAGTTCTAATGTTTTGATTCTTTAATCTTGCGATTTACTGCATTTCACTGCTAAATTGATATTAAATCGCTTTCATGTTCCCTTTAAAAACTTTATCATGTCATGCATTATACCCTTATATATCTTTGGTGGCAAATTATTGTTAGATCTCATACTTCCTCAGCTTTTGATGTATGTTACCATATGATATTTCTCTGGCATATTAGTGCTAGAATTCCCCCGCACCCCTATGTTTTCAGAGACCCCCTGAAACAAGAAATCTTAAGAAAGGGAACTTACATATTTCCATATGTTGCCGCCAAATGCAATGGCATTCGTCCGTGATCGTCAGTCGTATTGATGATGCCAGGTTGGAATTTACACAAAGCTTCAACACAACGTGGCTTCCCTTTCTCGGCCGCGTAATGAAGAGGAGTTTTCTCAGAGTTGTCACCACTATCACCCCTTGCTTCATGCTTCAGAAGCATTTCAAGTGCCTGCAAAAAGAGAATAGTTCAGAATGAGTTTTCACCACACTCCTAATAGTTGTCAGCCAGAAGATCATCAGTTTTTAGGGCACTGCAATCATTATCAAAGAACGAAATACTACACGATCAAATTTGATCAAAGAAAGTTTATGATCAAACGACTGCTGAATTTCTAAACAACTGACCAGCTACGAAGACAAACACACTGATGTTTTGAGCCGACAGACCGTACTTTCCTCTAAACTAAAGCACATTTCAAACAAAAGTTGCGGTTGAAATTGTAAGGAAACTGTGAGCTAACATTTTAAGGAATTGTGAGCTTAAATCTATATTTAATTGATTGCCAAACTACATACAATAATGCTATTTCATGTTTAGAGCGAAATCAGCAGTGCAACATCAAAAAGACATGTACTTCAATTGTGACTTAATTAAATATACTGTATATTTTCTGATAAAAAATTATTTCCTTACTAAAAAATTTCCCATCTGAGCAGCGTAATGTAGTGGTGTTTTGTAATCTTTGTCCGTCGTGTTTACGAGCCCAGCAGCTCCATTATCAAGCAGTGCTTTGAGAGTCACACAATGATCGTCTTCAACAGCAAGATGAACACATGTTTTCAGTGACGACTCTGTCATCTGGATCTTAGCTCCTTCTTCTATCAATAGCAAAACAGCTTGCGTCTGTCCCTTCCAAGAGGCACTTAGTAAAGGTGTATACCCATCGACGTCCTTTGCATTTATATTCGCTCCTTTCTCAAGCAGATATCTTATCATATCCGTCTGTCCAAACATCGAAGCTCTACATAACAGTTTTTATCAAAAGTAAGTGACCAAGTTATAAACAGAGATTATTCCACATTCAAATACCTCACCAACGCTAAGATAACTTTTAAAGATATAAAACTAGTTTCATTGGTAATAAAAATGGTATAAACATTGGCAAAGAAAGCTGATACACGAGAGCACACAGAAAAGACTTGCAAGAAGCATATTCTTTTGAAACAATATGATGCAAAATACCTTAATTATGAATCCAGACCGCAGCTTTGATAGACTTTTGATAAATGCTCATAAACAATATAACTTATAATTGTATAGACGGTTATCATACCTTCTGCCTTAACGTGAGAAATTAAAAACATTGCAAGAACGAAATTTATACACATTCCCAACACCCCTGCATATCTTTGGATTGCCAAAATGAGAAGCAAAACGAGAAGCAAAATGAGACCATAACATGAGAGGCTGCTCTAAAGGGATGGTTAATTCACGCTTCAAATGAACTATTACTAGTAATACATAGTGCTAGTAAATAAACAAGAAGTTGGTTCAGATCAATTTTTATGATACACCAACCTGTGTAATGGCGTCAAGTGATCAACATCTCTGGCATTTATCCTCGCTCGATGATGTAATAAGATCTTTGCTACGTCAATATTTCCACTTGTTGCAGCCAAATGAAGAGGTGAAACTTTCCCATCAGCATGCAAGTTAACATTAGCTCCATGTTCAATCAGTGTTTCTACCATCTCTTTATGTCCAGCAGTACATGCTAAGTGCAAAGCAGTGTCTAACTGGCCTGACTTTTTATTGATAAGCTCTTCCTTTCTTTTTGTAAAAACAGAGCTATCTACTTCATCTGATGGACCAGTAACTGTAAATATAATCAACAAAAATTCAAATTGAGAACACTCTATCAAGATAGAACTAAGCACCATGGTGGTATCTTATTAGCAATGATTCAACCTTTCAGAGTTGGCTGGCAAATTGGATGGAAGTTAAGATTTGGAAACAATACTGTCTTCAAGTATGCCAAGCTATAATATAATACCTTTCATACCCCTTCCCAGTAATGGAGGTCAATGCATGCAGCTTATTGTGAAGTGGAGGGAAGGGGTCAATGGACAATCAAGTAAAAATAGGCAAGATTATTCAAAGCACAAATATCTACAAATATACCTTGTTTATATATATTAATATAATAAGTCTTGGAAAACTAGCAATAAAAATTTGAATCACAAATGAAACATTTTTCTTTTTGCTCAAAACGAAAAAAGGTTTTAACCATTTGAAAAGTTGTAGGGAATCATGGTACAAAAACACGAAAATTCTCTCAGAATATTGCAAAATACAATCAGTTAGACGAGGACTGAAAACAACCAAGGGTCTATCTGAGAACCCAATCAGACATAAAAATATCATTTTCAGATTTATCACTTATAGCTAGACATACTATATTTTCTGTTTCTCTCGTGTATAAGATATTGAACAAATCCTTAAGCATCCCAAGACCAAATTTCATTTGAGAAAACACAAAATTAATTCCCTGGCTACATGATCATTATATTCATTTATAAAGATAATAACTCCAATAAAGAATTGAAATAAATTCTTAGAAACTTCTAGTGCATATTTTCTTGCAACTTTATCATTTATTGGTATCATGATAGCTTTCCAAGAATATCATTTTAAATATATTAGAATTGGCATTTTTGAATTCTTATCGTAACAATAATATCGTAAAGCACATATCTTTGGCTTTGAAAAGTAAAAGGATGATTATTTTGAAAGTTTTATTTTCAAACTATTCCATTTGTAACTTTCCAGTTAAAGGTTATGTGTCCATATAAAAGAGCTGCGTATACCCAACTTGTCAAGTTACATAAAAAAACGGCTTGTGATTGGTCAGTATTCTTGGGATGCAAAACTGTTCACGTGAAAAGCTAACTTCGCAGCAGGGTAGATAAACAGAACGACCGTAATGGCTGGGGTGATGACATGTAAAATCACATGTTTCTGAAAAGCCCCGCAGAGTTGCTTGCTTTAGCTGGACACATTACCTTTAAGGAGAATTATGTAAACTGTTAGGTAACATTTACTCACATGACTTAAGAATTATGTCAGCAACAACATAATTTCCCTCTTCAGCAGCAAAATGCAATGCAGTTTCTTCTTCGACATCTGCTATAAATGGATCTGCACCTTTTTGGAGGAGCTTGTGAGTTATTTCTGAATCCCCACTTATTGCTGCCTGGTGAAGTGGAGTAGCACCAGCATTGTCTTTTGCATTAACATCAATCCCGGGTTGATTAATTAATAAATTTGCGATGGCAGTGTTGCCTCTTCTTGCCGCAAAATGCAATGGTGTGGTACCATAGGTGTTTGGTAGATCCACTGAAGCATTTCTCTGAATTAGGAGTTCAGCAGCTTTATAGGAATTGTATCTGAGATTTGAATTGTCGAAAAATTACTTTCAATTCATATATTCTTCCTGAAAATCTATTTTCTTGAATATGGTATTTCGAGGACATTTTTTAGGTTTAGTGTCAAAATAGAGCAGAAAATTGGATACAACCACTATTTAAAGAGGAATAAGGAATTTTTTTGTCTTTCAAGATGATGTGCATGCTCCTTCTCAAATTCTGGGCTCATTGAGTTTTTGATTTATAAAAAACTTAATATTTTTAAAATCAGTGTTTTCAAGGCAAAAAAATGTTCAATCAAATTCTCTGATTTCAATGTTTTTCTACTTAATGTTTTCAGATTATGAATAGTTGAACTGGAATGAGGATTTGCAGAATACCTCCATTCATGGCAGTTTCAATAAGATTTGTCTGCTACCTCCAATATTCTTAAATATAAATCACCTAGCATATGTTTGCATTTTGCAGCCTCTGCTGTCATACCTAAATATAGCATTTCATTTAAATAACAAAATTGACGGAAAAGTTTGAACGTAATACGATTCCCAGAAGACGTGACTTGTTTGTTAGCTTGATGTAAATGACATTTTTGTTAGAAATACTGTCCTAAATTGCTGAATATGATGCTGTCAGAAAATAAAAATCACAGTGGAGGAAGTGAATGATGGCAAGTTTGTGGTTATCAGGCAATCACGCAATATCGCCTACAACTACAAACGAGCAAGCCTTACTTTGCTGCAAGGTGTAATGGTGTGTTCTGATCCTCGCCCTGCCGATCAATGTATGCTCCATAATCCAGCAGTATCCTAATGGCATCAGACTTGTTACATTTTGCTGCATGATGAAGAGGTGCAAGTCCTTCTGCGTCAGCAATTTCAATTACACGCATAACATCGTGCCCACCCCTTGCTATTTCATCTATTTTCTTTTTAAGCGCGTCTGTTGCTCCTTCCCTTGCAGCTTGATGCAATCCATAATCAGTATAAGAAAGTTCAGAACCTATGCTATGAGATCCCGCAACTGAGGGTTTATCGCCAGGCCCGGAAACACTTTCTTTCTTGTCTTTCTCTTTGAAGGGAATCTTAGGAACCTCGCCCTCGAATCCGCCATTTTCTACTTCTGAAGGTCCCACATTTATTCCCAACGTTGGCATTTCTTCACCTCCACTTTCGGATTTTTCTTTGAACCTGATAAGAGCTATGTCAGACATGCTCTCCAACAGCAGGTAAATTTATGAATTGGGCTCTATTCTATTGGCAAGAAGGTCGCCTGCCAAGGCCTGATTGTTTACTGTGTTGCCTGGTAAATTGACATGCGCAAACCGTAATGTGCAATGTGCAGTGTAATCACAATTGTGACTAAGCCGGGGGCGTCAAAGCTCTGTTATGTTATAAAGGTTCAAAACTCTATCAACAGAAAATATATTTTCAACAAAACCTTGACTTTCAAACTGAAATTAGGATGGGCAAACAACTTTTGGACCAGTTTTACAGAAAAGAACCTTGCATTAATTAGTAGGCTTATATTTGCTAAAGGTAATTTGTTTTTGCAACCTTATTAATGCATCGGTATACACCGAAGTACTATTAAAAGACCATCTGTAAACAAGGACTTTACAACGCTTAGCATTCGCGAACATTGGATTTGCATTTTTTTGGTTATTGCTCACCTGGAAACAATTTAATTGTGCTCCTAAACTGCCGTTAAATAAAGTTTTCAAACAAAACAATCTTCAGAACTAGAGCGCTCAAACAAATATGACTTAGAGCTGCTTATGAAAACAATTTTAATTTATTCACATATGTAAGAACCTCACTGTAACGATCAGGGTTCTTGTTATGATTTACGGAGCGATGGGCTAGGCCAAATAAGTAACGCACAAAATATATTACTTCTTTGGTGTTATCTCTAATGCTTCATTGTAATGTATTCATTGCACAGATCCTAATTATAATATAGGTTTTTCACTGGCAGTAAAATAAATAAATAATAATTAAAACAAAAACCTATAAGTAAATATCACCAAATGTAAGAATAGTCCTTATTATATTAAAAAAAATTAGGCTAGAAAATATGTACAAGCATAGAGATAAAAAATTACGATATATATATTTATATGACTATTGTGCTAACCATAGTCTGTAAAACTACATTCAACGGAAAAGACTAACTTATAACGTGATAAACACATACTAATAACCTAACTAGAAATAGCTCTTGCTAGTACTGCCCGCAAACAATTAGTTCCTTGATAATGATTGTTTTGAAAATTTAGGTCAGAATATACGTACGAAGAAGACACCATCTTGGGTTTTCACAATTTTATAAAAACAGCTGCTCTAGTTGATGCTAAACTATTCTTTTTATCAAGAATTTTTGGTGTTCAGTTTGCCTTTGATTTAAGTCCAACGCCCTTTGAAAATCATGAAGTTTTTCGAGGGTTTGACATTTATTTTTCGTTTTCGTGAAGTAAACAAAGACGTATGAAAATTGACACGTGATAGAACGGGTACAGCTAAAATCGATTGCGATAAAGGATTCGTACAGCGATGTACAAGCGATAATCACGACAATCATAACTTTTGCTCGTACAATCTCGAGTTTTTGGGAGAAAGGTGTGGCATTCGACTGGTTTTGATTCCCAAAACTTCGAATCAAAACTTCCATCCATTGCGGAGAACCGAGCTGTGATGCAGCACCGTTTTCGTGCCAAAAAAACCGAAGGCCTTTAACAGAGTCTTGGCAGAGCAACGCTCCGAAGATAATTCTCTTCCGCCCGCACAAAGAGGTGGCGGTTAACGACCTCCTCGACAAAGCCGATTGATTGACAATGAAATTGATTGACAGTTGTCATGGCAGCAGAAAAGTGACAAAATCTGCTGACAAAGTGCTGACAACATGAACTGAAGCTTCCATATGCTACTTATACGCGGGGCAGACTATAAGCCCCTCACTCGCGCGCTATCGCGCGCGAGTTGCGGGCAATAACATAAACAAAAGCTAATTAACAGGACAGTACGAGCGTCACAGGACATGTTGAGAGACAAACACATTGCCATAAAAAGGCGTTCACTAACATAACATGTGATCTAAACACGCAACGGGAACATTACTAAATTGATTAAATATGAAATCAAAACCGTTACAAACCGAAGAATTCAGAGCTCCATAATTTTTCCAACGTGTGTCGGAACTAATTGCTGAAAAACATCATCAAAATGTTAGTGAAACCTCTGCTTGGATCAAAAGAAAGCTGAGTTTTTGCTTACTTAGAACTGCAGTAATTTGTATAAGAGGTTCTAGGTCCCGACAACATGTTGTCCCTATTGGTGAAATGGGTGACATTGACATTAGAAAAAATTTATCTAGCATCATTAATTAAAAACATTATGCTTTTTACTTAATTGTATGTTCATTTCATTTTGTAAACCGGCAGCCTATCGGTATATATACAGTGCTGAATACAATAGAAAAGTGAAAATGTCTATGTACAAAGGTAGGACATCTAGCAATAAGGTAGATCGTGATCCTAAAAAAGCAATAGAAATGTAAATAATGCTTCAGTATGCAATTTGAAGTGTTTTATTAAAGAACAAATGAACAAATCATTCACACAGAAATCTTCCAAAAACTTCATAATTGTTTATCGCGGAAAGCTTTTTAAAAAAAGATGAGAAACAAAGAATCTGTTAAAGTTTGGGGGAGAGTTGCAACTGCTCTTAATGAAAAGTAACAAGAGTTTCAAGAGCAGGAATGATAGAGTTGGTGTTCAGCAGCTTCTTTGGGCAGGTCAAGCTATAGTTTTTTCCGAGAAGGAGAAAAATCGGGACATCGCTACGTCATCTGACAAAAAACGCTGACGAAGGCGCTTCTCTATTGATTTATCTTAATTTGACCCAATGGTATAGAAGCACGATTGATATGACTGATTGATTGGTACCAGTGAGGTACCTCAAAGATAGTGTCAAGATCATTCGATATGTGGGGACAAAAATGTGGAATGACCTACCAGTAGAAATTAGAAATTCTCCTTCAAAATATTATTTTAAAAAAAAATCTAAAATATTTTTACAAAACAACATAGTAATCAGTGATGGTTTTTAAACTTAGTCTATAAATAGACGATATTATTCAGTGGATCACTCATAGCAACTTACATATGATTTTTTTACTTTTAGAACTAAAAATTAAGCAGAACGCATCTAATTTACTAGGGAGTGCTTTCTCTTCGATTAGTTTATAAACCACTGAAAAAGTTTCCTCCTTTAAATAATTCCCTGTGTGTACAATACTAGCTTGTTTCTTCTCTACTCTGTATTTGTTATGTTATGTTTATATCAATTAACTTACTTTTACATTGTTTATACTTTTAAGCTTCGATTATTTCCAATTTGCAACAAGTGTATGTATCCAGTTGAATTTAAAATAAAACTGAACTGAACTGAAGAACAATGTGTCTAAATGACATGCTCATGCCTGTTTTTTATTTCTAAAGCGAGGCTACGAGGCTGTTGGCGGGAACCATGATTTACCGATAGGCCTGAAAAGGTAGAAAATGGCATCAGAGCGGGCATCAGAGGAGACTGTGTCCATTTCGAAGGCAAGTATTATGTGATCGCAGCAGTTAATGCATCAGTAAATGCTCTTTGAAGGCCATATACCGTGCCATACGCGTAGCCCGAATCATTAAGAATTTTATTTGGATGCTGAAACCAACATATATTATACCAGCCTTATGTTGAAAAATAAGGACGGATGCAACTTATGATTTAAAATTTGAAAATCTTATAATAAAAAGACGAGGAGATATGTAATTGTGAAGCCCCGAAAATTCTTTCTCTCTTGAAATTTCATGCTTTGACTATTTCTGATCTGGAGGACTTGGAATATTTTTGTCATTCATATATGAGAGATCACTCATTTGAGCCAAGTACCCACTGTGCTTCCTGGAACATTGCACCCCCACTTACCATTCTGGAAAAGAGGATGCCCCCTCTCCTACAATTTTTGCAAGTTTCTCTTGGCCCAACAACGTTGGCAGAAATGACAGTCTGAGACCTTTGATAATGTTCTTAATGGAAAGTAAACTAACTTAAATGACATGTTTATTATGACAGTTAATAACAATGTTTAGATCTCTGGCATTGCTTTGAATGCAAATCATATTGTCCCAGTAAGGGTTAGGTAATGTTAAATCACCAACTTTGCATTATCAAAATTGAAATAAGATTTTTATAAAGGGTTATTCCAACAAGGGTTTTATCTATGACCATGACAACAAACCAAAACTCAGATTTTGGGATAGTTGGAGGGTCATGGTAGTCAACCTTTTGATAGAAGATGGTACCTGATGATGATGATACCAACAAAGGAAGTGGGTTTTTCCAGAGAGGATAGGTGCAATGCAATCAATCTGCTTACTCTTTTAGTAAGCGAATCCCGTGAAAAGCAAACATCACAACTTGTATTGACAACACACTGTCAATCAAAAATATGTTTCTTTTCACCTAGCATTGCTACAGTTACTTAAAATTAAATTTGAATGATATTTTGCATTACTGTGTGAATAATTTTGTTGTCCTATGTTGCAGGGTTGCTTTCTATTTAATTGCAATGAAAGTAAAGCTGGAAAGACAACTAAAAAAAAGAAACATCAAAGAGGGTCACTAAAAGCAAAAGCAAGATATTTTACAGGTCAGCATTTGAAAATATATTTACAAAATACGAAAAACTGGAAAAATAAGACATAACAAAATGCATTTTGTCTGACAAAAGTTAAGGCCGGTTTCCACTTCATTCGCGCTGGTTGCATGACTGAGCGAATGTACATTGGGGCATGCGCAAATTGAACTTCCTCATTGGCTGCGAATGCGAGACCATTCGCTGAGTAGTTCAACTGAGTTGAACTACTGGTCGCATTCGCTGATGCGCTGACTTGTTGATTCAATTTCGCCAAGTCCCGTGACCAGAGCGTATCAAGTGGAAACCGGCCTTTAGATAACAACAACTTTCCTGCCTTTAAGTGGCTGAACCTGGCTTAAAAGTATTTTTGTTTGCTAAAGTTATGATGACTAAATGAAATTTTATAGGAGTTAATTTCAGGAAGGGCATTTTTGAGCTTTAAATAATTTGCCTAATGTGTTATTGTTTGCTATATGTGATGGTCTCATGTGACTTTGTTAGTTTATGTGCATAGATGGAGAGTCTTTTGGTCTCTTGAGAACTGGATTCGAAATACTAGGTTCATAGAATTTTAATGCCCTTGGTTGATTTATGGGTATTTGGCATAGCATGGGCTAACTTTGCTTGGTGAAGCCTCAGTATATGTGTGGTGTTTATTTATTTACAGCTCTCCCACCCTCATTTTGATTCTTTAAACAAAAATTGCTTTTTCCATACAGCCTTACATTTTGTGTTTCTTTTTCTGGCATTTTTAAAGCTTCTCTGGTTGCCTTTTAAGGCATCTTTTGTGCTGTTTGGCATTTCTCATGCTAGTAGGTAGGACCAATGTATTGGCTCTTATTTGGGAAAAGAGGCTTTTCTTAGAAATCTCTTCCTGTCAACGGTTTGTGGTAGGTTCAGCCATTTCTCCAGAAGCACCAACTGCCCAACTGGGAATGTACTGACTGACTGACTTACTTATGTCTATGACTCTCTATGACATGTTTTTTTTAAACTTCCCAATGAAGCCTTCATTAGTTAATAATGTAATGCTTTGAATAATCTCCAACCAAATATCTAATTATTTGCCCTGAATAGAAGGATTTGTGTTTCCAGGATTGATGGTGGGTACACAGAAAAGAAATCTTTGACAAATGTTAACCCTTTGAAAGTTCAATACAAAGAATCATCTAATTTGCAAATGACCAGAACAATTTTCATAAAAAAGTTATGATTTTTTGCAGAGAATAAGTTTCCTCTCCTGAAAGGCGAGAATTCTCAGCAAGCTACTTTGCGGTATACGTGTTTCAAAGAATGCTGGGTGAATATTTCAGAGCAAATTGAAGTATGTCATTTTAATAACTGACTTTTAATAATACAAGCTGTTAGGGGCTTCTTTGAAAGAGTTAAGTTCAAGTAAACAAAATTGAAATGTTGTTTTGTAAGTATTTTGAAAACCTGAATTGTTCTAATGAAGAGCTTCTATTGCCATTTAGTTGCAATTCGGGGTTAGCAATCAAGTCAACTACCCCATTTTTTTAGGTTGTTATAATCTTAATTTTTAATTGATGATTTATGTTGGGCTAAAAGAGCCTGATAACTTGCTATAGGATACCATTTTTGTGCTGCTACAAAACTTATAAATTTTTTCTTGGTAACTAAATATATGTTTCATTGTAAATGATATTTTTTCTTTAATTAGCATTCAGTACAAAATGTAGCATTTTTATTCAACAAAGTTTAGTTTTATTTGATTATTTTTACTGCTTGTCCAAGAGCATCCAGGTTGCAACCAACAAAAAAGTTTTTGATGATCTGCTCACTTACATAAAAGAAAGCTATTCAGAGGAAAATGCAAATTACCAATGGAGAGAACTGCCAACAGCAGCTCTTTTGACAGGTATGTGATTCTTCTTTTGAATTCATGAACATTTATGATGGGCATTCAAAAAAACAATTCATAGAAAACTATCTAGTAGCTCAGAAGCAACTGCACTTATATCTGGAAATTATCTAGTAATAATTTGATCTATAAGCTATGAGTTTATGGTGAGTTTACTAACGTAAATCTTCCATTGTTTTGCTAAGCATATTGCTAAACAGAGTATTTCTTAGTTTTTGTCAAATTTATAAGGCTAAAAATGCAATCCTATTTAGTTTTTGAATATGGGTTTGATAGAATATTTTTATCAATCTTCTTGTTTATTGTAAACCTTTAAGTCTAATTTTTTGTTTCTTTTTTTTAGGAGTAAACATGCCAGATCATGATATAATTTTCCAACAAATAACCTCAAGCATCTTGAATGACATAACACCGCATGTTGTTCTCCTTCACTCAAAAAACTGCTCCAGTAAGTAAATATTTGAGGGTATTAGGTTGGTCCTTTATGCAGGCCTTGCCCGGAAAGGCGCTCGATCGAGCGCGCGCGCCTAGAGCGCACCCAAAAGAAGCCTTGGAGAGCGATTTATAGAGCCCCTTAAAACGTAAAAACAATATTAACACGGAGCAAAATAAATTTTTGGAATTTGTTGAATCAACTTGATCAAGCATAAACAATCTTCCCAACAGACCGCAATATTATGATTTGCGTAAGATTACCCCTTGAGAAAAAATCAGCAAATTCAACGTTGGGTTTTCGATATCATTTTAAATCTAATAACCCTCTAATAACCATCAAGAATACAGGCCATCAAGCGTATTCTCCGGCAGATTTATTTGATTTTTGAGCAAGCGTTAATCTTCTATTGAAGTAAATATTATTTTCTGTTTTTCTTAATAACTTAAAATCGCCTGTGCAAATCAGCGATCACGTTTCCGTCCAAATTATTGCATTGCTTTTCATTTGAGTTTGCGAGTAGTAGATGTTCTAGCGTTTCTTATAGAATGGATAACATGAAAAAAGGAAACAAAGTTAAATGTTCGACTTAAAGCCATATGCGTTTTGATGAAGCAATATGTGAAGCTAAACATAACAGTAGTGATACTGACACTGATAGAAGCTCATCGAATGATGGCAACTTACATATCTAGAGAAATCTGAACAATTTTGCGACTTTATTTTATTATATTTCTATATTTATATTAACATAGTGTTTGTTGCATGTTTTGTTATTTCATATTATGGTGCTTTCTGGTATCACCGTTGAATTTCATATTTAACATTCTTCCGAAGCTTTTGATATGAAGCTCTCGATCTTCTAAAGCTCTCGAAGGATGCTCTCAAGGAAATTTACTTAGAGGTGCGAAATAGAGCGCCTAGAGTTTCTAAGGGGCTCTTTTTATGGACCACCTTCATTTTACTTAGAGCAAGGCCTGCTTTATGGCTTTTCTTATCATCATACCATTATCATTAGGCTATTTGAGGTTTTTGTAACCTTTAACTAATATTTTTTCATTCTTACCTGTTGAGTTCTGCTACCCATCTACCCTTTTCCTTAGCAGGTTTCTTTTTGTGGATATAACCTCACATCATGTAAACCTTTTATAAATCAAATGTTTATTTATTTAGTTTTGAATTAAAAATTCTCAACATTCTATTGACAGACTTGAAATTCTTGATGAGAGAGGTCATTACACAACTTATGACTACTGATGATGAGGTATATGAAATTCTGGTTTTATGAAAATATGCTTAAATTTTGCTACTAGCATATTCCTGTAAATTACAGCTTGTTTTACATATAATTATTTAATTTTCGACATAAAAATAAAATACTATTTGATTAAGATTAATTTATAGTCACTCATCATTTGCAGTCACAAAATTTGGTGCATACCATTTGGTGTGATTGTAACTATTAATGGCTTTATATGATAGATCTTTAAACTTTGCACATTCTATTTAGAGACTCAGAGAATCAGAGAGTTACTTTTGACAATATTTTGATAGCCATGTGTAATCTATGTATCATGATTATTTGTTTTCACCTGAAAAACTTTAGGAAGATGATGTTGATGAAAATCTTGATAAGAGTTTCTTTGAAGAAATGGGAAAGATAAAGCGATTTACATTCAAAGTGCTGAGATCTTGGTATTCAAAAGTTTCAACTAAGGATTCAGGTATGGCCCCTTTGTTTTAACAAAGAGAGAATATAATAGTAAAAAAGTTAGTTATTAATGGTTGTGTCCCAAAGAGTATCTTTTTTGCCTGATTTTTTGTGAAATGCAGCCTAATTGACCAAAAGCTCAAATCTTCTGTAAAGAATTTGAAAACAATTTTTCCTTTTAGGCAAAAATCCAATTGTCATCATTCTAGAAGACTTTGAAGGCTTCCACAAGTCTGTGCTGCAGGACTTCATTTTAATTGCAAGGTTATACTTTTTTCCTCTTGGTAGGCATGATATTGAAGGAAAAGTCCTATATTCACCTTATTTCCATTCAAAGGTGGTAATGGCTTTATTTGTAAATAACCAGCAATTTTATCTGGTTTGTGCATAAGGCTAGTGATTTAAGACAAAATAGTCCACGGCAAAAGATGTGGTCTGGATCATTGATGGATGTTATAGTCAATTAGTTCATAAAAAATTAAAAATTTACATAAAAACTAAGAAAACAGAGAGTGGTCATAATTGGGAAAGCAAATTTTTCTTGTTTTCTTAAAAGTGATTTTTTGTTTCTCAAAGTGGAACATAACCATTGCATTTTTTTGTCATATTTTGACAGTGAATACATACAGGATCTACCGATAGTTTTGGTGTTTTCATTGGCAACAACTATTGGTGCTGTGCACAACTCATTGCCTCATTCAGTCTCAACCAGACTTTCCATTGAAAAGTTCCATGCAGAGCCATCCTTAGAGTGCCTGCACATAATTCTCAATAAGGTATACACTTAACATCTGTTTACTCCTGTTTTATTTTATTATTTCATCATAATTCACTATATAAGTTTATATTTAATAGAAAAGTCAATTTTGACTCCTTCCTTTCCCTTAAGATTTGTTTTCCCTTGTTAAGCAAACAAAGTTTATTCAAGATATTAATATTGTTTGAAGGATTGAAGGAACATTTATGCAAACCTTTTTTCATTTAACAGGTCTTCATAACATCACAGCATCCTTTTAAGTTGGGACCCAGACTTCTTCATGTTTTATATGACAAATTCCTGTGCCAGGACTTCTCTATTCAGAGTTTTGCTAGTGCAGTGCAGGTATCGTTAATCATCAAAATATTCTTTGAATCTAAAAATGTGAATCTTTTATGAAGTTCTACTTTGAATCCTTTTCAGAAAATGAAATTAAAAGATGGTAATCAGAGGAAGTTAAATGGCAACACCTATCCATGTGCTGTAGATCTGCAGAGGATATTTTTATGATCTGACTACATTGTCCCACAAATAGAAAATATTTTTGCTATGAGCTCTGCTTTGACATATTATTTATATTGCCTTGCAACCTTTCTAGTCATTTTCTATTTCCGTTTAGTCTCCTTTCTTAATCTGATTACATTGCTTTTGTTACTGCCCAGCTTCCGTATGTAGTTTTAAAGATACTGAGAAGCTATACTTATTTAGCAGTGTCGTGGTCTGTCATCTTGGTTTGTCTACACCTTGTGACTTCATATTCCTGGAATTTCAGAGAGCTGATACTTCTCCTGTATCTATGTAAAACTTTGGCCAGCCTAGTAAAACTTGAATCACACTATGTTGGATCTGTAAACCATATCAAAAACCAATGAACCACTTACTGATTTCACTATGCATATGCATTTGACCTTCCTGATTAAAAATTCTAACAATCTAAGTGCATTGTAATCTGCATCTTATTTTAGTTTGCTATGCTGGAGCATTACTACGATAATCCTCTGAGCATTTTTTGCACTTATGACAACAAAATGCATAGAAATGCCATTGACTCCTTGAATGAAGACCACATCACATATCTCATAAACATGCCATCTTACCAAAGGTATTGCAACTTAAAAGCCAATCGATTAAACCTTTGATGTCTTTTTACAAGAATCATTTTCAGGCAGTTTTCCTGAAAATCAAAATTTTTGAAATTTTGAGGTCTATGTTGTAAAAACATTATGCTATATTTTTGAATCTGATTTGAGGTGTAGTTATACAAATATTTTTCAAAGATGATGTAAAGATAATTTATGAAAATAACCATTGTAGAGTAACAATCAAGATTTTATTTAAATGTGTTGATGTTCTTCTTTAAATCATCAATAATTCTAATTTTTAGAAGAAATTCGGTTTGTTCCATAACTATGGAGCAACACGAATTAAACAGAAATGTTTGTCAATCTAACAGGTATTTGTAACAAGCATCATAGATTTTTAATATCACGATTTGATCTTAAAATAAATCTATTCTCAGGTTCCAAGATCGAAAGTCTTTGAATGACCAAGAGAAACTATTACAAGACATACCACACATCAAGGTATTCCGTCTATACGTCAAGTTATTAGGTTTGTTCATCAAGGTAGCAAGATGTACTATACATCAAGGTATTCCGTCTATACGTCAAGTTATTAGGTTTATTCATCAAGGTAGCAAGATGTACTTTACATCAAGGTATTCACCAAGTTATTCAGCCTAGGTTTCAAGTCTGAACATCAAGGTAGTATTAGCTACCATTCATCAAGGTATTCAACCTAGGTGTTAGGTCTATACATCAAGGTAGTATGACATACCATTCATCACGGTATTCAATCTAGGTATTAGGTCTATACATCAATAATCATTCCAACAGCCACCTTCAAAAATCATTCCTTAGCTCTTAGCGAATTGTTATATTTTTTTGAACCATAGAATTAACAATTGTATGCTTTGCATCTCCTTTTTTGAAGCTCATTTCAAATTATATCACCAAGTATCTAATATGATTTCCCTGTTTTAGAAAACAGCTAAAAAGATGATTGATGAATTCAGAAAGACAATGACAGCCCTTTTCCCAGTTTTGAGATGTTTGCACAAAATTTCTTCCAAACTTCCAAGAGCACCTTTTGGAAAGCGAGTAAGAGTGAATGGTTTTATAAAGTTTTATAAGTTCAAAAATGCCAAGTGGGGTTAGGCATAGTCGTTTTTTGTCGAAAAGCATAGATAATGGATACTTTATCTTGAAATATCTTAAGATTTTATTGCTAAAATCATTAGTTATTTTTTACTGTACCTGTTTTGAAGAAAATTTAGTATCGTGAGATGGTCTTATTCACAACACAAGTTTCTAAATTTGAAAATAGCGCGCATGAGTGGAAATATATCTTACTGTAGTACTTTTTGTGTAACATGATTGTCGGATAGTGTCCAAAGGTAAGCAGAAAAGTTATATCCACATTCGAATCGAAAGTCAAGCCAGAAGAAGAATAGCACGTTTTAATGTTTCTTTGTTTTTACCAACCTCAGCTACTAACTTTTGACCTAGCTGAAGATTCAAAGAGAGAAGATTATTTTTTGTATCTACACAGGTCGGGATTCTTTGTCGTCACTCCTTGTTGGCCCATTCTGGATTTTTAAGTTTCTAAACAGTGGCTAATTGGTTATTTTCCTAACAAATTATGAAGAGAACCCTTTTTATGAAACCATTTTCTCTTTCATACCAATCCTGACATGTTGAATATGTTCGAATGTTTCTTTTTTACAGTTGAAAGATGTCTATGAATTCTGCATGAAGCAAGAAATTGTAAAGAAAGAGCAATACCATACATCTATTGCGTTGCTTAAGTGAGTCAGTCTGTTTTCGTCATAGGTTTTCGTTTTTTTCGCATTTTGATCCCATCATTACCACTATTACAATGAGTGCCGACAAAGCTCAAAGGACGATATTGTTTGTACACAGGATTTCTGCAAATAAAATTTTGTGTATTGATCCTATCCATTGTAATTTTTCTTAAAAACAATTAATTTTAAAACTTGTTGCCCAAATTTTTCTTCCACGTCCCCTCCCCGCTTCCTATTGCTGACCAACTTCTTTCAAGAAAACCACCGCATTCCTCTCCAAGACCACACCCTCTCCAGATATTACCAAAAAAAATTTCAGATATCTCTTTGATGTCTGATCTGTAATAAAAGTGAATTTTTGAAGAGCTGCAATGTCAGAATCCTTTAATCAAATTCGCAATTATTTGTCCTGCAAAATTTGTGATCTGCGGTTTGCATGTATGTCTTACACAAAAAATTTCTTGCACCAATATTTAATTCCTTTAAGTTAACTGCTTTTATTGGCAGAAATTTACCTGAAGCCTGCAGTTGTTACATGGTTTTTGGTTAATCACTGACTGCTATATAGACAGGGGCTGCTTTAAAGTTAAAGAAATGAAGCAAATAAGCCACTAACATTGATAATTCTATATCCTTAAATATTCAGATATGTTTTATATTTTGCAAATGTAGCACATATTCTAGTGTTTATTTTACAGTGACACACATGTTATGTACTATTGTTTTCATTAAGCACTGCACGTTCAGTGACTATATTAATGCAAGATGTATTAAAACCGTATACTGGCACAACCCTCGAAAATTGCCCAAAAGAAGGTTGTATACACAAGGCAAATCAACATGCAAGGGTTATTCCCAGTTGAAGGATTCTCCTTACATTCAAACCAGTTGAAGGACTCTCCTCATTCCATTTTCATTTCGGTTTTTCTGTAGGCAAACATCAAAGGACGATCTAGTATTTCTTTTGGAAGAATGCTACACAATATTAGCAGATTTCGTTCAAGAGAACGCGTAGGTTCAATATCGATATTTTGAGTCTCCATTTTGTCCTCTTATCAATTTTATTATCTTATGTTAGGGTGCCACGGGCAAATAAGGAAGTAAAATTTTACTCGGTTTACGTCCATATTGAACGTGAAACTCCAGCGACTTAGAACCGTCCTGTTCTACGTACAAAAACATGTGCAGCTCTCCTTATACAGTATCAGGTAATAGCAAAAGGCTGGTTAATATTCATACTCGAATTGAATGATATAATATTTTTGTTAATAATTATTCACTTGAGGCACTTGTAATACCCCTACCTCCAATTATAGTGTGCGCGATAATGGCTTAGACAAGAAGCATATTTCATAGATTGTTTGAGCATTAAGTCGCTACTTTGATTATTAAAAGACAAGGGAAATTTACACTAAAAGACCACGGGTTACCGTTAAATCATAGACCATAATTTTTGAAAAATAAACCTATAGGCACTCAACATAGAAACCATAAAATACTTTTTTATTTAAGATTAGAGTTTGAGTTGTAACTGGTAGATTTTTTCATTTGTTTATTTGTAGTACTACTTTTATATAATTATTTTCATGTGTTCTGCTTTCAGAAAAATATTGGTTAAGTTCCATCGATCAGTTATGTAAATTATGATTAATTGGTATGCTATTTCTCTTGTAGGATCAATAAGAAATGTTGAAAATCATTCTAAAATAAATAAAACTGGACACAAGTGCATTCATATGATGAATGAAAATGTACTTTACTAGCTATTAAACTAGGTATAATAAGGAGACACCGTGGGCTACCAGCGAAAATACCATTGATATTACAGACCTTTAAAGGTTGACAACAGTTTTTGTTAACAAAACATTTCTCCTTTCCAATCGCCGTCTACAATTCTGACCTCCAGATAATGAGAAATATTGTTGTGTAATAGAAAATATTGCTTAAATTTCTAGATTAGGTGCGTGTTTTGCTGATGATCTACCCAAGCTAGAACAATTGATGAAGAAGTTTGACACGCTTGATAGTAAGTTATTTCACCTCATGCAGAAAAAGTATGGACATTTGTTTAGACTCATGATATTGAAGTTGATAATTATTTTCTGAAAAATCTACATCCTGAAAGTAGTTGCTTATGGTATTACACAAATTGTCTCTGGGTCAACCTCCTTTAGCTGATATATTTTATAAATTCTCTTGAAAACTATTTTTAAACTTTTGCCAAACCGTTTAGTGTCTCAGGTTAAATTTCAAGGCTTTGCTTTCTCCTAGAGGCATCGAAAATAGAAAGATTTTCTACAATGGAAATTTAATTTTAAGTTAAAACTAAAATTGGTAAGATTTACTGATATCAGAGCTGCTCTGACATTCAGCTTTATGTGTTGCTTATTGTTGGTGTTACATGCTACTTTCTTCTTTATTATTTACTGTTTTGTTTTTCTGCTCGTTCAGATCTCAGTAACCAAAAAGACGAAGAAGCTAGTGCTACACCAAAAACACCAGTAGAAAAAATACCAGTTTATAAGAACAGATTCGAGTTGCAAGAGGTAATTTACCTTTCCTAAAAAATGTTGTTATAACAATCATGAAAACACGAGGAAAGAAGGCTCTTCAATTGTTCTTGTCAAGTTAATGAAAATAACGTCTTAATATCTGCATTGTTAAAGTTGTGAACCATATCGAAAGATGCAGTAACTTGTGCTAGATAGTACATGTTTTAAATACACCCTGTTTTTTATTTGTTTTTTTTATTTGCCTGTACGTAGATCTCAAAAGACGTATTGTCATTTTAGCGTATGAGGCAAGCAGTTAAAGAACGAAAATCCACTCCATACGATAATTTACGGAATGAAGTCATCGATTGCTGGGATTCTATTTTTCGGTATTTTGTTACGTAATTAATTTCCATGTTTCTTAGCAGGCACAAGGCTGTCAGAGAACATCTTTAATTCATTGTTTAACAGAATAAACTCTTAAGTCGTTATTCAGATATTTACAAAGAAGTTGTTTTTTAAAAAATATGATCACTAAGAGACTTACTGGGAATTTTCGCAATGCTGACACTCCAGTTTAAGACAAACCTCCGATATGCAAATATCTGGAAAAAATAAGCCTCATTAAATCTTAAATATTATTTTTATATTATTTTGTATATTTGATAGTAAACTCTAATTGTGCATTTAAAAATTTATCAATAACGTTTTTGTACTCGCATTTTTCTGATTGGACTATTTCGATCTACATCTGGGTATATAATTCCATCTTGTTTTTTGAACCCTCATTATGACGTCAATCTAAGGATTGCCAGGCGAAAAAGCTTTTAGTACTATGTTGTGAAAAGTTTGTTTTTTTCAAAGCCTGTGACAAGTCAAAGAATGGGTAGTTTTCTCTCTCCACTTAGTTGACCCTTTTACCATCGCTATGGCTGCATACCTCAGTATTAATTGACATACTTTTTCAATTGTTGTTTACGCTTTTGTTTATAGGACTGGACAGATTTAAGTTGGAACAATCAAGCAACCTTTAATCGCATCAAACATTAGACTAGCAGTTGCAACTTAAGCCTTCTTGTTCTATACACGAAAGCGTGTACAGCTCTGTTTTTTCTGGCATGGAGCATTAAATAGCTGAACGGCAAAACAATAATTTGTCATCTTGAATTAGGAATTCACAACTCAATATTCAAATATCTGCAGGCTGAAAGTGCGTCGGGCCTAACGAATAATTTTCAAGCTGACTTCTTCGTATAGAAACAGCTAATATGACATCTCGACGCCAAGACGATTTGAGTTCTTAATTTGCTAATTTACTTTCCCAAATCTTTTATTTTAGAAAATACTTAAAATGTCCTATGCTGCTTCCTCTTCACGAATTGTTCATTTTCGATGCCAAGGAGTCAGTTATGCCTGTATGTAGAAATTCTTGTGTGTCTCTGTTCAATTTTGTTACGTTGATTTTTTTCCTCAACTAAAATCTCATAGTAGTGTTTAAAGAAGATATGCTGTTTTTAGCTGTTCACTTTTCTTTTAATCCTTTATTCCTTCAAGCAGTATCAAGTTTATTAAGCTTGTGTCTTTATTATCTTTTATCTTCAGCATATCAACCCTGCTCCTCGATTGTCAGTGCAAAATGCGTTACGAGATCCTCACTTTTACCTTAAGGTAATCATTATTTTTGCATCGATCGTGTTGTCGTGTTCATAAACATACCTTCTCAAAATACTATACAGGCCGCAATTCTTTTAGATATCATGGCTGGTATATTTCTGCCATGAAGTCAAGCGTTGAAGAAGTGATTTGATATTGCAGTTTGATACGAAGAATATCTAATTCATTCTTCTACCAATGTTTCATAGAGTCAATGTTTGATTTTTATAAATAGAATGATCTCTCGGCTTTTCCGATAGCTATTTGGTTTTTGACAACAATTGATTGATGATAGAAAGCCCTCTAGAAGTTCTTTACTTACACATCATCGAAAAATTCTTTGGGCTATTTGTGAAGCTTCTTTTTAATACTTATAGTTCTATGGCTCTCTATGTATGCCCTTTAGAGGCTCCCTTGTTTTCCTTACAATTTCAAGAAATTGACACGCGACTAAAGTTATACGGAATTTAACTGATACCAAACACAATATACATGACTCTGACAGGTAGCCAAACCAACGCTGTGAGGGCGATTGCTCGCGTAACACGGTTACCGTGCTATGGATAACTCACTCCAACTATGCAGAAAATCCACGCACAAAATTTAAATTTATTCGATTGTATATCAGGATTTCCGTATTTTCTAGTGCAAATGTTGCAAAATTGACGCGGAGGATACCCAAGAAACCTTACCCGACTTGAGCATTGTCTACAAGATTCACTTGGAATGTGGAAAAATGATAAATCTCTATGACTGGATGCAGGTGCACAGTTTACTTTAGTTTGATTGGTTCAGCCTAAACATTTAAATTGACATTGTCAGTGCCATCTTGCGTCAATGCATTTTAAGGCATGTGCAAATGATCTAATATTTAGTTTAACAGCAGATTTAATATCATATCAGGTTAAATATTTGGTCGTTTGCTAAGTATTGGACGATATTTTTTCAAGGAAAATTTGCTGGCCCAACATTTCATTGCTCTCCGCTTGATCGGTGAAATGTTATCATAAATGTTAGGCAGTTTGCACAAATGCCACACACTTGCTTGATCCCTTATTTTTGCGTTTCTTGAGTTATATAACTCCAAAAGTAAAAAAGATGTGCAAAATGATGCATGCACTTAAATATTTTTATCATTCTTTATTGATATTCTCCAGTCTGTCATCAACAGCATTGTTGTATTGTTTTTATTTGGCTTAGGCCTTTGTTGCCGTTGTTGCTCCCTCGCCTGCCGGTCGAAGCAATTCAAAAAAGCGACAAGCAGAAGACGAAAGCTTACAGTATCTTTTCCACTTGCTTTAGTTGACTATATTAGTGTTTTTGAGCCGTGTGCTAGAACTTTTATTTTGAAATGTTTTAAAGATACTAGTAATGGATATTAGTTTGAAGCCTTTGTGGTAATGTTTTCCCTTGACGAAAAAACCAGAGCACGGTTCTTCCAGAGTGTCTCAGAAATGCAATTGCTAGGTTTGATTAAGCCAACAAAGCGGAAAGCAGATCATGTCCAAAGGCTTACGTGGGGTTTTTAAAGGTTTGTATTTATTATTTACATAATTGTATGTTGCCAAAGTTGCTGGACTTATAAAATGTTTATTAAATCAGCTATCAAATGTATAAGCGTCATTTGCTCAAAAGCAACTTTCGATGTTTCAAACATTATTATTACATAATTATATGTTGCCAAAGCTGCTGGACTTATAAAATGTTTATTAAATTTGCCATCAAATGTTTAAGCGTCACTTGCTCATAAACAACTTTCGATGTTTCAAATATTCAAGGTTATGTTAGTACAGCTTTTTTTCTTATATAGTCTTAAGCCTTGGCCAAACGAATAGACCTTTCGATTGAGTAGCACTTGACTTGTTCTACGTTTTGCTGAGTGGTGTTTGATTTTGCTCCGTTCGAAATGAACACAATATTTCCCTGCGCAACGCTCAACATATCTTAGAACAATAGGACAGTTTTATGATCTGTTTAAGATTTTTGAACTCCATCAGAACTTCAATCGATAAGGAATAAACAGCTGTTAATATCACGGAGCATATAAATCATTTGGCCAAACGAAAGGTTTGATGCTGCTCAATCAAAAATTTAATCTCTTTGGCCAAGGCTAAAGAATACCTTTTTGAAAGGGTAAATGGTATCTTTAATGGATAAATACAATCGTTTGAGGTAATAATTGCAAAGTAATTCTATATTAATACGAATGACGACAAAATGATGTAACAGTATCAGCATCGTTCAAATAATGTATGTAGCATTTTGAAATTCGGTTTGAAATTGAGACAATACCAACTGTGTCTTTAAAGGGCTTCACTAGAATTGAAAATGCTTTGCAAATTAACCTGAAGGTTTGTTCTTCTGGTGATATGCTAGCCTAGCTCGATTTTTAAGAGATAATATCTCTCTTTGAGACGCTTCTTAACTTTCTAGTGTTCAAGATTACAAATGAAGCCAGAATATTTTTAATTAAGATGTTATTGCCTTTTTTTTGTTGAAACATACAAATACAATATTTGGTCGATAAATCTTGCATAATGGATGAACTGGTAGTATTATGAGATATAATCGATGCATTTCTTGTCTTAACTGGCAATTTCTGCAAAGATTCAATCCAAACACATTAGCTTAAAGAATAACATCAGCTCATCGACAAGAGATCTACTTTCTAGTCTTTGAACATAAATTATGGTTTATGAATTTAATCAGAAAACAAAAATATGCTTTTCTATAATCCTAAACTGTGTTTAGACTACTTGCTGTCATTAAATTTTAAACAGAATCAGGCATGCATCCACGTTTTTTTCAAGCGGCTTTGAAATCCCAAAATTCCTTATCAGTCAACAAGAACTTATGAAAATGAACTCTTTCGGGAGGGTTGGAATTAAATTCTTTGAGATTTCCTTCAGAAAGACAGAAGTTGGTTGGTCTATTTGGCCTCTGTTTAACGCTGCTGGAATCCACTGCATTTTGATGACGGGGTGAAAGAAACGCCTCTGCAACGAACTTTCTCTTTGCTGAATGACCACTTCTAGAAGTGTTGCTTTTTTTGTGTGTTTTTTTATGATATACCCATTCACAACCCCCTCATCATCAGTTTCTTCGGCTGTATTATAAGCCCTTCGAATCAAAGTGAATGTCGAAGAGATAAATGGGCAGGCTAGAGTATTGTATTGTAATGGGCTTGTCATGTTGAGCTGTTAGATTTCAATGTTTATTATCAAACATCCTTTTGTTCCAGTCCCTCAGTACAACGGCTGGTAGTACTGGTAACATTAGATTCCGTCTGCAGAAATCGTATTCTAGTAAACCGTTATATTTTGCAGCTAAATGCCGAATACTTCGCTGAGGGATCATGAATGTAAGCTTAAAATATCCGGCATCTTGAGATACAACTGTATATTCTGGGCTGTCATCAACAGTGATAAACAATTTAAAACAAAGGGCAAATTTAACGCTTATTTATTTTCACCTTAAATTCTAGATTCCAAACTCATCTTCAACTTTATACTTCTTTCTAAAACAATTTTGACTTGATTTATGAAAAACAATGCAATGCCTTATCACGTGCACCTGTCCTGTCCAATTTCTAGCCTCCGGGGCTTGATGCTTTTATCTATAAGTTTTTGTATTAAAACATATTGTATTCCGTGCTCAGTCACTCAGGCAACCCCCTGCTTTGTACAAAACGAAGGATTCCATACTTTCATTAAAACTAACTTCAAAACGTCGTTTGAAGTACGAAACAGAACACCGCATCATGAAAAGCCTAAATTTGTTTTTATTGATTGGAATTTCTTCATTGCTTTTTGGTTTTAGCCAGTATGCATTGGCGAGGCATGCCTATTTGTTAGACGAAACAATGCCGAAAGCAGTTGATGACTCCGAAGAAGAAATGATCAATGAAAAATTTAGACCAGAAGAGCTTGAAGCTTTCCTGAAAACGTTTCAGCAAGATGAAGTAACAAAACTGAGACCACTCGAAGTCGAAGAGCCGCCGAATTTTGCAGAAGTTTCTCCTGACGTCTTGTTAGAGCGACTCATTGATGAGGCTGATCAGGAAAGGAACGTTGAAACGACAGCCGGAAAACAAAGAATGGATCATGGTGTGATGGAAAAACAAGACTATAGACTGAAGAACGATCAAGTTGGAACTTCTTATATTGATATTAACAGTGATCTCAATGATTCTTTATAGAATCTAAAAAATTGCTGTATCGACATTCAGGGGTATTAATGTTAACAATTAAACACTGGTGAGCTACTAATATTGTTAATTTTTCGATTAACTGAATCTTATTTCTTAGATTTAACTTCTGTAGTGAAGCATGACCTCTGTAGTACAAATTTATCTATTAGATAATTTCAACCCAATATGCCAATCGACAGCTATTACTTTAGTTGAATTCTTCAGTTTGATCCCGATAACTCGAATTCTCATTTACTCCATCTGTTTCCATTCCTTTGAACCTTTGTGATACTTTTGTTTAGAAACCTTCGTTAAGTCAAACTTCTGATTCTGTCAAACTCGAATATTCTATATCTTCATCCATAATTCTATACTCATTTGGTCATCGTTTTCCTATAACCAGAACTTTTCTGGGTGAAATGAAAACATAAGCAATATCTTTTTATATAAGTAACGCTTTTCTACCATAAAATTAAGTTGTATTAACACAGATACAGTGAAGACTGCAATGAGCTCGTAGTTCTTCTGCATCCCCAAGATGTCACTTTTTGCCAAACATCTTTGCTGTGTGTTTGAAAAATAGTCAATTGTTTCATCTTTTAATTACTAACAACCGTCTTGTAACATCTTTCTAACCGACTTTGACACATACTGCATACATATCGACGATATTTTCTGATTTTCAAAGAACATCGAATTTCCAAATTGCCTTCAGTTTGAAGATATCCTTATATACGTTGTGTTTATTGATACGGGTTTCAAGAGCAATCTTAGCTGTCCAAAAGACTAGTAGTTCATGTTGTTTCCTAATAAACTTGTTGTAGCTCGAACTTATGTTCACTTTTTCTTCAAGTTTGAAAGACCCGATAACTCAAACATTCGTTGTCTCGATCCGTTGCCACCGCTCCATTGGTAATTCGTAATAACGGGCCTATACACTTTGTTTTTATCTTCACGATAGGTTCTATTAAATCTGTTTGTAAAATGACATCTTTAGAATGACTTCCCCATATAAATTTAAATCTTCTTAAGAATTTATTTGCTCACCTGCTTTTCAATCAAGTATTAAGTGCTTATCAAAATATTCATCTTTGTCTGTATATTTATAGCTTGGCTATGACATCTTCCATCTCTTTCGTCTATAATATTCAGTGTTGTCTTTCTCACCCATTCTATCAATGTCGTCTCTCTCACCTAGCGTTGTCTTCTTTATTCAGGATCGTCTTCCTTACCCAGCCTCCACTTCCTTATTCAGTTTAGTCTTTCTCGCCCAGTGTCATCTTCCTTGTTCAGTGTTTTTTTCTTTACCTTGCGCCGTCATTCTTATCTAGCATCGATTTACTTATCCAACGACATCTTCCTTTTGCAGTGTTTTCTTCCTTACCAGCGTCATCTTCCTTGTTCAGTATTTCTTCCTTGTTCAGTGTTTTGTTCCTTGTTAAGTGTTTTCTTCCTTATCCAGCTTCGTCTCCCTGATCCGCTTTTCTCATCCACTATTGTTAGGGTAGTGACAGGAGGGAAAACTTCGCAAAACGTGTAAAATGACATAGAAACGCTTTTTTGGAACTTTGAACAGCGCAGTCAGCAGCATACAATTTTGATATGATAGTTACCAACATCATTTCTTTTTGTTTTGGAATTAAGATGAATTTGGCACCTACAACTTTACACCCTCCTCTGGCTACATCGCTGATAGTATAACACAATCGGATACGGGTCTGAATTAAGTGTAAAACCAAACCATGACAAAATATTTAGAAAGACCACTGGGAGAGTTCACTCCATATTCGTATATAACCGATTTGCTTTTTTCGAAAGCACAATTATTGTCCAAAAGTTGGTGCAACATGTTAGAATTCAGAAATTCACCCCTATTTTAGTTCTGGAGATAAAGTTGAGTAATTTTATTTCATTTTAATATTTTCTTTATATGAATCATTGTTCCGTCTGGTATAACGTGTTGAATTGCGTTGTTTACGAGTTCACTATAAATAATATTCAATCTATACCACGTTTCATTCACTACACATTTACCAAAATGAAAGAATTGCAATAAAAAATTGGGAAGCATTTAGGTAAGTCTCAAGGCAGAAGAAGCCTTCACGAATTTAACTATTGTCATTTTTTAAGGAACTAACCTCGGGATTATCACCCAGTTTCTTGATTTTTTTCATTTAAATGCTAAAAGTTGCCTTAATGCTTCTTAAATTCCATTGCTACAGAGTTCCTTTCTATTTATCGATGTTAGTTAAAAAAGAAAATGGGGCCTAATCGTCGAAGGAACCATTTCCGTCCCATCTTTAAAGAAGCGTTTTCGAGCAAGTTTATGGGGATCAGTCCTATGGTTATGGTTTCAATGTTTTTAACTCGGCGCTCGGTTTTTAACAGACAGTTTCTTGTAAAAAACTAGATAAGCTAGCCTTTATATCGAAAAAACTTTATATAACGATAATTTTTATAGTAATGTTGAGAATTGAAAATTTTGAAATTCAGTAAATAATTAAGAATAGTAGCCAGGCTCAAAATTCATATCCAGTTTGACTTGTTATCTATCTGAGACTCTGAGCAAACAGGATAAAGCGGACGTCGCTGAGAAGATTAAGAAATGGATTGATAGTCAAAAGAGAAGATCATTCTATTGGTGACGAAACACATGGAAGCAAATTAGTGCTTTGTACGAAAATGACTGCTTTAGTGCAAAAATTGAATATTTTAATAAATCTTCATCTAAATAAAGAATTAAATATACGTGAATGATAGTAAGGACTAAATCGTTGTTGATGAGTTTGATCATGTTTAAGGGTCCATTCATATTAGACTCAGTTAGAAATTTTATATTTTACTTTTAAAATGCCCTTATACAGCAAACAATTTTCATTTTTTGGTTTTATTCTGTTTGAACGATGAGATAAGACAGAGGCAAAAAGTTGAGCTTTCTTTCTAGAGACCCTTTCCAAATTTACCTGTTCTAGGCTCATATTAAAACAATACTGCTCTTTTTCATGTGAAAAACACATTCATCGCTAAAGTTAAGCTTCTGAAAACTAAATTTTTTTAAGACGTTACACTTTATTCTTTATTGTGTTAAATTTTTGTTTTTGATTTAAACTAAAAAATTTATAGGAATATGGACAATCAGCAAATATTTAAGCAAAAAAGTGGGTAGTTGAAATGATATGGCTTATTATAGTAGTTAAGTTGTTAATATAATCTACACTCATTTTTTATAAGAAACTGGCTTTAAGAAACGAGTACTGGACAGTCAGAAAAAAATAAAGAAACTTCAGTATTCGAGTTAAATCGTGATAAAACTGAGAACAGCGAAATTTGTAAAACCCAAGAACAAGACTGCCTTGTTGGCCTAGAACTTAAGACACAAGGGATAAAAATGAACTTCCCTCACCTAGATAGGGCATCGGAACGGAAGCGAATCTCTTGACGTGATAAAAAAGGTCACGAACATTTCATATCATCTTTCATGACATCAAAATTAAGAAACTCTTAAGAAACAATGAGTATTGAAATTTCCAGAACATTAAAGGCATTGAGTCATGATAAATAGACTGGGTATACCCTAAGTGCCAAAATCCGCTGAGTCATGATTTCCATGACTGCGATGCTATTGGTTGACCTTGAACTGGTCACATGAACTCACCTCATACTGATTAACATAACAGTTTCCATCAATAGCAAGTTGTCAACAACGGATGCCAATATCACATGAAACAGCAGCGATCACGCCGAAACCCCCTATAGAGAAAGCCTATTTACCATGACTCAATGCCTTTAAGAAACTTGAGTACTCAACATCGACCTTTGTTTCTTATAAAAAAAATGAGTGTATTAGTACTTTTTCTAAATTATGTCTTCCTTTTCAAGTGCTTCATTTGGCATAAAGAATGAAAGCAAAAAGTTTTACTTTGTTGCGATTGTTGCAAATAGGAAGACAATTTAAACGAGGTTACTTCCGGCTTTGCCCTTGGGCCTCAACATTTCATCGAACTACCTAGTGTTTTCAAACTGGAATTTGCTACAGAAACACTCAAAAAGATGAAAGTTCTTTCAGTCTTCGTTTTCAGCTTTATACTACTGGCAAGCTCAGCACCAATGCAAGAAGGTAACACATTCTAAAGCATGGTTGAATTTTTACTAGGCAACTCTAATAATTGTGCGCGGAAAATAACGTCTTAGGCCCATGGCCTTTGTGGTATATGATCGCGTAACTACTTTATAAACTTGTATGCAGTCACGGCGCCACTGGGGGCGGGAGGACGGGAAGCTCCCCTCCCAAATTCTTTCTAAAAATCAAAATGTTTTTATGAGAATCGTCGAATTGTCTATTCTGAGCTGTATAGTAGTTTGTCAAATTTAGTCTGGGAGATGCATTTTTAGCCATTTTAGAAAGTCTGATTTCAAAAATTTTCTTTCGCGTCAGCCCCAACCATAGTGGGTCCTCCTGTGTCACAAACTTTATTTTTAGCCCCCCTAGGTTCAATTTTGTGACGCTGTCTCTGGTATGTAGAAGAAGTAGCAAGCCAGGTGTATTAAAGAATGAAGGGAGAACAGAAAGGGTTAAAAAAGAATAGAAAGTGATAAGGTAGAATGATATAGAGAGTGTAAAAAGGTCTTCGACATGCCTCAGATGCGCCAGATTTTACTTTATCTCTTTAACTCTGTGTCAAATAAATTTAGCATACTTGCTAATTGGAGACTTCCTCATGTAGAAATTAAGGAATGCAACTGAGAGACTAGACTAACTTGGAAATCTATTTGTTATGAATTGCTTGTTAAAACCTCCTGGTTTCTTACCATGTTCAGTAAATTTGTTAATGGATCTTTCAGAAAAAATGGTTACATTTCTTGACAAGGTCTACACTGTAATCAAAATCTTACATTAGATTTCATAAGTTTTGTGCTTTTGGTGTTCCTGTTTATATTTTGATAATTTAAATTTTATAAGATTACTCTAGTGTTCAGTATATGTATATGATTTTCGTCATATTAAGTATATGTAGCATATTCAGTGAAATTGTCAATGTTTTTGATAATATTCTCAAATTTTATAACTCCATAGATGCAATGGTGAATCAAGAAAGTGAACCAGTGTTTGATGATGCTTTGCCTGAAGATGAAGAGTTTGAAGAGTTTAATGATGAGCCAAAAGATGATGAAGATGATGAAGAGGAAGAAGAAGATAATGAAGAAGAAGATGATGATGATAATGGAAACCATTTTCCTGAATCTGCAGACCAAGAAGATGAGGAAGCCATGGATAATGCAGAGGCACTTCCAAATAATGAAGTTGTTTATGCAAATGAGTTGGAAAACAACAGAGCATTTGCGGAGAATAAAAAGAAGGATATAAAAAATGAGGATAAAGATACAAAAAAGGCTACTGCTGATGATGCATCTCACAAAAAGGACTCAAAAACTGCACAGGAAATGGCACCAAAGCAAAACAGTAAAAAAGATGATGTGGAAAAGGTGAATAAAAAAGATGATACAGTTAACATATCCAAAAAAGAAAATGCCAAAAAAGACACAAAGGTAAAAAAACCTTCTGGATTTGAACATAATTGAGATCCTGGTGCATTTTATTTTAATAAAAAAGTTGAGCCCCTGTAACTTTGTTTCTTTATACATTATTCTCAACACTCAAAGCAAACTGATAATATATGTACAAACATCTCTTTAGTAAAACTTGAGTCTGCATTTTCCCTACTTTGTCACCAGTGCAACAAGGTCATATTAGAGCTAGAAATTTGTTAACCTTAACTCAGGGTAATTTTCTAGATTAATAATAAAACCTTTTTCTCACCATGGCCAGAGAAACAAAAGATATTTTAGCTTGCTTGATTCTCTAGGCACCTGTAGAGGCACCTGCTTGAGCTTGAAGGCCTCTCATAACAAAACCTGATGCCATTATTTTGCAGATTTGTTAATTTCTTCTAATGTTGGTTAATTATCATGAACTAGAAAAGTCTTTGATTTAAGGAAGTAAACAAGAAAGACAGCAATAGCAAGGTACTAACAAAAGAAGAATCCAACAAAGATGAGGAATTAGGAAACCACAAGGTCATTGATCATGAATCTGACACTGATGATGATGCAGAAGACATGGAAGAAGATGATGAACCAGTATCTATGGATGACACAGAGCAGGAAGATTCTGAAGAACCAACTGATGAAGAGTTAACTGATGCTGATGCTGAAGAAGATCAAGAAGCTGAAGATAATGATGAAACCCTTGTATAAGTGGACACTGCATTATTTAAAGCTGAAATACAAATATACTATTAAATTCGTAATACCTCATCCAGTTAGTGGGAAATTATTGTAGATGATGCAAAATAATTCTAATTTTTTTTAATATATGATCTAGCTTCACTGTATATATTTTCTCTTTTCTGTTCTTAACAAGACTCCCTAATGGCAATTTTACTTTCCAAACATTAAGCTGCCTTAAAAAATGCATTGCATTTTTGGCCTAATTTTTAGGCAGGGCAGCTTTATTTTAAATATTTCAAGTTTCCCATCTTAAAATGGTGCATCTCACAACACAGGGAAATATGAAACTAAAGTGTTAGGATTGATCTATAAAATTTAAAACTACATATCATACTTTTTAATTGAATATAAAAGCAGATAATAACTACAAAAATTTCCTATCAGGATATTTCCCTCAAACTGCCCAAAATTTCAGAAACAAGCAGACATTTTCAGTTATTTGTATGAAAGGCAAATCATTGCAAAATATGAATTTTCAGTAATATTTATTTATTAATAAATGAAAAATTGTTAAATAAACATCTCTAAACCAATTTTGATTATCTGAATCAGTTTCAGAGTAATCTTGCAAAAAAAATTTGATCTGAGCGTTTAAACAAAAGAAGCCGAAAAATTCAAGGAATGTTTCATTCATCAACCAACAAGTAAGATGCAAAAGTAAAGCCAAAATAAGGCAATTTCAACCATAGCAATGCATGAAATGCATTTCGTGACTGTTAGCACCTTGAGATCAATAAAACATTGCCAATTAACAGATTTCTGCTAACTTGTACATTTTGAAAAGAGCTATACAATCAGGATTACTTGAAATGACTAACGAGAGGCCATAAACTGAAAGCATAGAACACCTACAATGTACACTTAAAAGAATTGCGAAATTCGTGTCACGAAAATGCAAGGGATCCTGTTGCGATACTTGATCGGATAGTGTAACAATGGCCTTTACATAATTTTCAAGAGAGGTTTACAACATCTTACAATTGCATAATTAATAAGTGATAAAAGAGCAAAAATGATAATTATTTTAGTGTTTAAATGCATGTCCTAGATTCTCTAAAATGCGACATTTAGACACTTTGACTTGTCTTCACACAGCTAGCTGAGTGTTTATGTTTGCAAGTGGGAATGCCTTGGTAGTTTATCTGTTATCTTTAATTAAATTAAAGGATTAGAGATGAACGCACTTGAACGCACTTAGGCCTGGTTCAAACGTCGCGCTTCTCATGTGCCGAACCTTACTCGAGAATTAAGTACATGAGGGGCGCGACGTTTGAATCAATTTGGTACGGCAAATTTAGTTAGGAGCGGCAGACTAGTTTGGATCGGCAGAGCTTGCCGAGCTGCACGGCTCCAGCACGGCACGGTTTCAAGCGTCGCACTTCTCATGTGCCGAACCTAACTCTGTTTGGAGCGACACTTGAGCATGTTAAGCGCGACTCCCGTTTCAAACGTCGAACTTAATCATGTCGCGCCAAATGGGTTTTAGGATTGTTACATAAAGTATCTTGGTTAAGGCGCACAATCTCAAATATTTGTTTGAAACGCATGCGCCCTCCAAGAAAGAAATGAATTCTGTGAAGGAAAATAAATTAAATATAATTTTGCATTGAGTTCGGTACATGACAAGTTCGACGCTTGAAACCGTGCCGTGCTGGAGCCGTGCAGCTCGGCAAGCTCTGCCGATCCAAACTAGTCTGCCGCTCCTAACTAAATTTGCCGTACCAAATTGATTCAAACGTCGCGCCCCTCATGTACTTAATTCTCGAGTTAGGTTCGGCACATGAGAAGCGCGACGTTTGAACCAGGCCTTAGTCGCCTAGTGGGAACCAAGCTTCAGAATTTTATATGAATCTTTTGATAATTACAATACGCACGTGATAACACTGTAAATAACACTTGTTTGAACTTCAAGCAATATTTCACACAAAGCAATATTTCATACCTAGCAATATTTCATACGAAGCAGCATTTTATAGAAACGGCTGAAGATTTCTGGTTTCGTATTCTGTTTAGAGTGGAATATAAATTTATTTTTAGGGAGTTTAGAGGCTACCTGCGTGCAAAAGAAACCCTCCACAAAATAGTACTTGTCGGGCTAAAGGATCGGCATGTGAATGCATAGGACCTGATGAGCCCCAAACTTGCGCCAAAAGCCAACAAATATTTTGAGGCCACGCCCTGTTTTCGTTCCTAAAAACCCTCTTCCTCTGGTTTTGAAGGCAAAAACGTACAATTTAGGACAAAATCATCAAATATATTTAGCTATATCACTTTCATTGCACAACAAATTCATTCATTCGGTCGTCCCAGGGTCAATGTTAAAGCCATCAATGACATATTAAACAACCGCCCTTTGCTATTTTGACGAACCAAATTAGCTAAGCCTGCGTTCAAGATTGTCGACAAATTGTCGAACCACACAGAATTGCTTTCAAATTATTTAAATATTTTATTTCAGGTCTTTGGGACCGCTACGAAAGAATTCCTTACTCGGAATGAAGCATTATCGATGTAAAATAAAAAACTCTTAATTTTGAGCACGGGCCCCTCTCGAACCCCGGGTACTGCCCCCAGCTAAAACACCAGTTTTTATCAAGGTTAATTTCTTAATGCTTGAAAGAGATATAGACCCCCCGTCATTTTTTTGCAAAACAAGAGAAGTTTTTTCAAATCTTTTGCTATAGGTGTTAAATTTTCCATTGCCCCCTCCCCCACTTTCTATCCCCTGTTGCAGTCCATGTTTTGGTGAAAATCAAGTGTATAGTGAAATTCCGAAACGGGTTTAAAGTAAATGTCGTTAGCATAATTTTTCATTAGCATAAGATTTATTTGCAGAAATAAAGAAAGTTTGAAACACAGGTTAAGCATAATATGTGTGTGAATAAAGGAGAGGCCACGATAGCAGGCTACTTGACGGACTCCGATGGAATTCTTGCGGCGAAAAATGTAGTAAATAAGTAAAACCGCAACGCGACGAGAATGAACACAACAAACACGCGTAAATTAGTTATATATAATCATAATATCCGCGCTGAGAAGACACTTTTATGTTGAAAAATATTGTTACATGTGTTTTGTCATTCAAAACAATTTATGTGTTCAAAAGATGCAAAAGCTCATGAAAAAAATTAAAAATCTTTGCGTGCTTGGTACCTGATATGGAAAAAGCGCGAAAAACAGGCAAATTGCATGAAGGCTGGAAGGCCTGTATGACCAGGGCATGGACACCGCTACCCTGGGTACCAGACTCACTATATATAAAATAAAATAGATCCCCTGGGTACCAGACTCTATTATTTTATAAAATAGGTACCCTGGGTTCAAGACTCTATTATTTTATAAAATAGGTACCCTGGGTTCCAGACTCTATTATTTTATAAAATAGGTACCCTGGGTTCCAGACTCTATTATTTTATAAAATAGGTACCCTGGGTACCAGACTCTATTATTTTATAAAGTGAGTCTGGAACCCAGGGTAGGACAGCGCTGGACTTCGAGCGTTGTCATACAAAACAAAGAATAAATTCTGAGGACAGCATGGCAGGGTTCAACGAATCAATACGGCCCTTACCAAACACAGTCAAATTTTGGAAGCCATATATATTGTTGTTTAAAAAGAATGAAATGCGGGTAAAATTAATTAAAAAATATTCTTACCGTCCAGTTGGCCTAACGTCTTTGCCAAGCATCTTGTAAAGTTCCGTCCGTGGATACAGCACGGGGCATATAAAGTCAGCAAATCGGAAGGAAGGGTTTTAACCTTACAAGAATACATAACTTATTACTAATAACAAAGATATCACGCTTTTTTTGCTATTTTGTCGGAGCTGCATGGTGAAACCAGTGTCCTGGGAGTACAAGAACATGCTCTCTTTTGAATTTGTATGTTCTATCCTTGTTCAATGCCAGTTGCTACTAGAAAGAGTGTCCACTGCCCTTTGTAACTAGGATCGTCGCAAGCTATCGTGCTCCCTGGTCCCTTTTCTCCGAAAAGTGTGAGGATTTTCCAACGAAGCATCCCTAGGTAACAAAAAATCATCATTTTTGCAACGGAATTTTGCAAGAGGGTATCCTTTCCTCCCACCCCAAGAAAATCCAAGTTTCATGGAAGATATTTTTAGCATAACCGAATCATCTTATAACCCCAGGGGGTTAAATTTCACTAGAAATAAACCAAACACTATAGCGTACAGATTGGACAATGTATTATACAGATGTCAAGAAGTATGGGACTCAATTTCCACAGAAATAGCCTCAAGCTCAAATATGAAAACCTTTAAGGCAAGTATCAAAACAATGTCAGCGATATATTGCTCATGCCGCATTTGTAAACCCTTTTTAAAACAAGTAGGCTATATAACATGACAGGGAACCTACTGTACATTGATGTATCATATTAGTTATTCATCTATTTTTGTTGCGTTGTTAAATTCAGTTATTGTTAACATATTTAGTTGGTTTTAACTAGCTTTAGTATAGCTAGTAGTCCACACAGACACAATGTCCACACAGACAACTCATAGCCATAACCATTTTTATCACTGAGTGTCTTATTTCTATTTAAGCATAGTTGTCACAGGGACGAATAACCATGCAGCCCAGAAACCATTGCAGACAGTAATTGAGCAGGCTGACTTACTTCGTTTCACATATTGATAAAGCAAGACGAAGGTACAAAGTTCTAAGTTACAAGCGCCCAATGTACTTAAAGATGTTACTGCCCCCTTTCTAGATCCAAAAGAAGGTTTTAAATGCCCTAATCTTTGAGAGGCCCTGAAAGGCAAATTGATGACGTTAGAAATCTATTTTCAGAATTTTCGTTAGAGAACTTCTATTGGCCACATCTCAAGAAATGCACACTTTAGCAGATTGAATTGCAAATTTAGAGGCATTTCATCGTGATTTTTCTGCTCTTTGCTCAAAATTGATTTTTATGACGTCATTTTCTTCTCTTGCAAAACTTGTGCTGATGGCTTGCCTCGTTAGCAAAAGTTGGAGTAGTAGCAGTTTTATTTTACATCGATTAGTACAAGAAAGCTTATCAAAATCGCATGATACATAACCAATTATAATAAAACAAGAAAAATAATAATTTTTTCTGATGTTGTTTATATAATATTTGCAATTAAACGGCAGACATTGCATTTGCAAGTGGGAGCATCCAATGAGTTATCAAGCTTCTGAAAGTACTAAGATTTCCGCCGATTTTGGTTCCCCTGGTAAGCAGTTTCTCAGTTATAAAGAAATACTCTCTTTCTACACAAGAAATTTTACTTTCTATCGAATAAAAGTGAAATATTTATTAACATATAAATAACAGTCTTTAATCTTATAGTCAAATGTTCCTATAGTCTATAGCCTGAAAATAATATCATTTTTTAACTCGTTACATTAAAATATTAACATATCAAAGTAACACGCCTTGTTTTCTCTGTTTTTCTGAGAAAGGATTGTACAAAGTACTTAGAATGATGGGCAGGGCTGCCGAGAGGGGGGCTAAGGGGGGAAGTTACCCCAAGACCTCGAGGTCTAGAGGGCTTCATAGAATTAATGGATCCCTTTTCAAAACGGAATTAAGTAGAAGTAACAAAAAATGCCTGAAAATAGTCGAAAATTTTAAACGAATGAATGAATTTGAGCTAACCTAAACGGTGTCGTGGTAACAATTTTCTGCGCGCTTCGCTCGCAGGGAGCCTCATCTTCCGGTTTTGTCCCTGAGCCTCAGAAACCTCTCGGCGGTCCTGATGATGGACACTTTTCTGGACTCTGGCAAGAACTTTGGTTTCAATATACAGTATTGCATGTGTAGCCTTCTTGCATGCCCCATTATCATCCCATGTTCTAATAGGGGTGATTTCTTGACTTGCAGGCATTGAGGGTTTAGTTATAACAGAGCACATATCATTTAGTTAGTTATAACATTTAGTTGGGAAGTTGATCGAACTCAGACTAGATCTTCAGAAATAAAAATAATCAACAAGCCTCAAGGAGACAGCTATTTAAAGGGTATTGTGTAGTGTAACCGTCATGTTTAGCGGCAGCTGTCTTGAGAAAATAATTGTGATTGTGGTATTTTCACGCAGTACGATATTAGGACGGTTTTGAAAATATAGTCGCAAAGCATGCCGGTTGCGCAAGAACATTTAAGGATTGTAAAAGTTTACAATATTTTGTATGACTTAGATGTACAAGGTAAATAGCAGATAAAGCTGGTTGTGAAGAAATCCTCAATTTCAAATGAAGATAATGGACACGAGGCAAAGAAACAAGTCCATAAGAAGGAGTCATTTTCATAATTGCACACAACTCTATCACAGTGGAGATGAAAATGAAACAGACTTTAAGGTAAATATGCAGGGCCGCCAAGAGGAGGCAGTGGGGCAAATTACCCCGGGGAATCAAAGTCTAAAGAGTCACATAAAAAAATTCTTTTTTAGGAATTGAAGTAATCAAAATGTTTTAAACGATTACAGGTAGAGACGGGTGTGGGCAGATAGAAGAGCTCAAAATCTGTTGCTTTCCATTCAATGATTCACACCAAGAAATCTGCAGCGATGCGAATCATTTTGAAAGGGAAGACATTTCCAGGGCTGCCCCGCCAGTGGCACCAGGCATTTGCATTTTGAGCAGTACTTTTTCTTAACACTTTTTCTATACTCAGTGCGTTTACAGAAAAACTGTAATATTAAACCTGAATATCAATCCAAATTTCGATAAATCAAAATACTGACAAAAAAACCAAGAAACTGGTGCAATCTCACACCATTAGATCCGTGTGAACAATACACTCATTTTTGTTTATAAGAAACAAAGGTCGATGTTGAGTACTCCAGTTTCTTAATAGTCTGGAAATTTCAATACTCACTGTTTCTTAAGAGTTTCTTAATTATGACGTCATAAATGATGTTATGAAATGTTCGTGACCTTTTTTACGTCAAGAGATTCGCTTCCGTTCTGACGCTGTATTTAGATGTGGGAAGTATATTTTTATCCCATGTGTCTTAATTTCTAGGCCATCAGGGCAATCAACCGCCTCTGTTGCCTTTTGATAAGAGGGGCAAGAAGAGCTAAAGTACCCTTTTCAAAGAAGTGCCCTTGACGCCGGCCATTTGTAGGAAATCCATGAGATTCATATGAAATCCTGACTGTATTGCCTTATTTATGACGACATTTTTTCGAAACTTTTGAAGAAATTTCTTATGCCAAAATTTAGCTGATTTTTGAGTACGACAGAAGATCAAAAGAAAATGACAGTTGCGAAAGAATTTTTGGTAGCTGGGAATTAATTTTTCAAATGCCCTTTTACTCAAGCCCGCCGTCTTGCCCCTTGGTCGTTCCGGTGTCCATGAATCGACATTGAGGATTTTGTTTTTTGATTTTTGGCGCGATCTCAATTCTTAAACGTTGCTGTTGTTGCAAGTGAGTCTTCTATAGAGTACCGAAGTGATGACGTCATAAAAATATATTTTTAGAAATTCTGAATTTTGATCCCAGAACCTGAAAGAGCATTATGAAATATCTCTAAATATGCAAAATCAGTTAAAGGCATTACGAATTGGCTGAGATATGGTCACTTGAGCACTGGCTCTTATGAACCAGGCCAGAATAACAGTAATCCGTTAGCAAACTTGAAATCATTCATCGGTCATATCTCGCCCAATTTGGAACATATCTAACTAATTTTGCATATTGAGAGGTATTTTATTATGTTCTTTCAGATTGTGTGGCCAAATTTAAGAAGTTCTAAAAATGGATTTTTGATGACGTCACACTTTGGTACTGTATGGTCAGAAGTTATCCGGGTTTCGGCGTTCTGTTATCTTGCAGGTGGATCAAAAGATACCCGGCTTAAAACTGACCCACTCTGAGATCCGTTCTTCATGTGGGTTAGTGGGAACGCGACGCAGAAACGGATAACTTTTAACCAGTTTTTGTTCAAACCCGGGCTAGTGGAAAGGCTGCCTGAGTCGGTGTCTGGGCAAAATTTGGGTCGATTCCTTAATTGGGAGGTGCTAGTTATGGTTTAGAAAGTGGCTAAAGTGCACATTAATTCCTTTAACTTCAATGTTTTAAACCCCAACCGGGAAATAGATTAGGCCCTCTTGAATAAGGAAACTGTATAGCAGAAAGGTAAATTCAAATGTTAGGGTATGTCCATGTCACGCGTTTTGCTGGAAATGCAACATTATCGACAGAACCACCCAGTAACATTATTCTCACTTTTGCATAATTAGCAAGCAATGGCAACTTGGCCTTCCAGACTACGGGATGGAGAGTCATCTTTACCGTCGTCGAAGATGTAAATGAGGATAAATTTGGCTGCGGTTCTCCTACCAATAGGCGGTTTCACAAAGATTTTTTGATCCAGCTAAAGAATTACAAACAAACATGAAAATTTGGATGAAGTTGCCCCTATACCCCCTACACCCACCGCTAGCTTTGTCCCTCTTCAGTATGGAAGTGAAGGTTTTTCTGGAACATGATAGCACAGTAAAGTTGAAAAAAAGTCTGGCGCAGGATGACGCTGACCGTAAACGGCCATGTTAAAGAATTGCAAAAAATGCGTCTCCGACCATTTTCGTCCGTTAAACTGTATTTAATTGTGCGTAACAATCTAGTTTCTTTCAATTTGTGCACAAATCTCGAAGACCATCTTGGAAGAAGCTCGAAATTTATTTGATAATGCAGATTTTATCTGTTGTTAAAGAATGAGCGATGCATCTTTCAATGGCATCAGACGAAAAAGGTTGTGAAGTCACAGAATAGAAATCATTTCAATTCTGCGGTGAAATATAATGTTTTGTATTATACATGCCGATTAGACATGGTTCAATTTCTTTTCAAAAATCATCAAACAAAAAGCACCACATGTGACCAAAGTTATTATACTCATTTGTTAGCATATTGAAAACTGTCATTATGGATAAGAATCAGGTCTTTGAGCGAGAGAGCAAAGTGGCCGGGCTCTTATCTCATCAAGACATACAGATTCTGGTGCAGATACGAGCGGAACACGACCA